TGAACAAAACATGTTTTTGCTAAGAAAGTTAATTTTTGAAAATATCAGAAACTTCAAATGGCGATATCTTACAAACCGCAAAAGATTTTAAGTTGAAATTTTTAGGAATTGCTTTTCTCATTGATATAAACCAACCCACCAAGTTTCATCAAAATCTGAGGGGTTGTTGGAATCCCAAAACATCAGTCCATGTAGGGTTGGGAGTTAAGGTTAGTTTTAGTCTAACTAAAAATATATTACTAAATTTTTAGTCAAACTGAAATTAGTTGACTAACTTTTTAGTTAACTAAAATTACCCGACTAACTTTTTAGTTATCTAAAATTACCCGACTAACATTTTAGTTATCTAAATTTAGTCAACTAACTTTTTAGTCAACTATAATTACCCGACTAACTTTTCAGTTAACTAAAATTACCCGACTAACTTTCTAGTTAACTAAAATTACCCAACTAACTTTCTAGCTAACTAAAATTACCCGACTAACTTTTTAGCAAGCTAAAATTAGTCGACTAACATTTTAGTTAACTAAAATTAGCCGACTAAATTTTTAGTGTAACTAAATTTAGTCGACTAAAGCAAGTGCTTGAAAAAAGAAATAATCTTTCACATAAAAATTTTACACATGAGGAAGCTTTATTAAGGTGATATATATTATTTTATTGCAATTAAACACTTTACTAACTGTGAATCCTAGAGCCCAGTCGAACTCAACTGTTATTCAAAAGAAATGTTTTAAGCAAAATTCGATTATTTTTATTTTTTCCCAGCTAAGAGACAACTGCCTATGAAGTTGTTGCAACTGTTTAAAAACACCCAATCAGCATGGAATATACAAATAATGCCCTTTAGTCAATTAAATCAAATTTGGTACGCTTATTGAACTTTTAACTTATATTTTTTATGTGCTACTTCCTATAGGTAGTGTGCAATAATAATCGCACATCAAAAAAATCTACCCTGCCAAGGCCGTACCAACGTGAGTATGGGCACCTTTCCAGGGTTACAACATTCTGTCAGTTTTGTTGGTAATTTGGAAAATTTGAGACTCGGTCGGTTAAAACTGCAACTTGACTTTTAAATTAAAAAAAAAGTCCTACTTTAGTAAAATTTTTAAGGTAAAAAAGCTTATTTCATTTGCACCCCCTTCTCCTTATGTCTTTGTTGTTCAATACAGCCCTGTCCCCTGCCATATTATAGGAATGGATTTAATCTCTAATTTTCACAACAAATCTATGACTACCTCTCCCCACCCCTTCAAATATCAACCTCTCCTAATGACTATTATAACCCGCAAACAATACAGTTAGGCAGGCAAAAGTATTTACATGAACCCAAAAGGTAATCGTTAAATAAATTATTATGAATATATTTATTGCTTTCAGAGTATAGTTGTTCGTCGGTTGGCGATACTTGCAAAATTTAAAAGAAAGATTGGTATTTACATTTTAAAATGCAATATCTGCAATATAAGTTGTTGAATAGTGTATTAAATATATTAAATAATACTTAACTGTTAAATAACGAAAACATTTTATTAAGTAACTGCGGTCGCTTTTAAAACCAGGAAATTGTTTATGACATTTTAATTACTTGAAAAATGCAATACGTGGTTCTTAAGCACTTAAAAATACGTGTAAAACCGGGTCAAAATAATTATCAATTAAAATTCAATAACTTTTTTATAATATTTATTTTTATATTTTTTTATTAGGTAGATTTTTAAAAAAACACTAAAGAATATATAAATAAATAATAAAATAATGTTTATGATAAAACTGCACACTCAAGAACATTAAAATCACACATTAACTTTTTTAATTTTCAGTCCGAATACTAAATTTAATAATATTTCTTTTAGAATAAAAAAATGTATTAAAAAATATTTATTCCAAGAACAAACTTCAGTACTAAATTTAATGAATTTAAACTAAATGGAAAAATTCTAAATGTTCGTACAATAACATCAATATTTGAAAACATTCAGTTGTTATTCTGTTTTGCTTTGCATACGTAAGTATAAGTTTGCATACGTTTTGCTTTGCATGCATAAGTGTTTAATGCCTCAGAGAAAAGGCGTTCACTTGTTGCACTGGTAGCAGACGTACATAAAATCATTGTTGAAATACATTACAATATTGGAAATACATGTTAATTTTGATGCCAAAAGTGTAAAAACATTTTGCTCATTTACTGACAATTTTATATAACCACTAATTTCTTTTTTTAAATCTAAACTTATTAATTTGTCACTATCGTTTCCGGAATCATCATCTTCATTGTCAAATAATAACTTAAATTTTTTGATTTGATTGTCACCTTTTTAACCGGAATTATATCACAAACTCTTTTTGTCCATTGAAATTCCGACAAAAATTCTCTAACGCATTAAAAAAAAAATTTTTCCTTGTACTTTTCAAAGAATTCAAAACTTTTATAATTTGGATCCAAAAAAGTGGCACATAATAAAACCGAATTATTGTAATGTACTTACAGTAGCTTACAGGGCCGGCACAAGTAGGTAACACGTAGAGAGTGCCATTAAAATTTTACTTACTAGAAAAAGGAAAAAAAAATTCTTGTTTTTTTAAATTTACCGAATGACTGTTCTGAAAATCTATATTTGCCGACTTACTTATCTATAAGAGTCAAATTGGATTACTAAATGAGCTAAAAGTTCATTGATGGAATGTCACACACAAAACCAACTAACCCATCCCTACACCCCTTTGTGCTAGCCTTGTTAGCTTATTCAATTCTAAAGATATTTGTGTTTTACCATGTTTACTTTTTGGATTTTTTATGAAATATTTTCTTGAAATATCTTGTTTATAAGATTATCTTGAAGTATCTTGATACACTGATACTAAACTTTTGGCTCTGAAAATTGAAAGAAAATTATTTTGATATTTTTTTATTTTTGCGGTTTTATGCGGTAAAATGATTATGCATTCGCAATCTTATTCAAAAATTGTAATAGAAATGATATCATGAACCCAAATTATTTATATTATATATTTATAAATTTCTTTAGTTGGACTAAAAACAAAGTCAGGTATATTTAGTTAACTAAAAACTTAGTCAGTTAATTTTAGTTAGAATAAAAAGTTAGTTGGGTAATTTTAGTTAACTAAAAAATTAGTCGAGTAATTTTATTTTTTAACTAAAAAATTAGTCGACTTGTTTTAGTTAACTAAAAAGTTAGTCTACTAATTTTAGTTACGGTATTTTTAGTTTAGTTAGTTACAATTTTTAGTTTAATTAATTTAATTAATAAATGGTTGTGCTGCACTGTTGAGTCCAGGTAAGAAAAACGTGCTCTCTAACTTATCGAAAATGGGTCAACCAATTAGTTACAGGGCTAGAGGACACAGCCAAACTGTGATTAAAAACTATGTTAATAGTAATAATAGTCCTCATATGTATGGATTAAAAAAAGTCCCTGACGTCCATCAACATTAAGTGACCATGATAGGTCACTTAATGTTGATGGACGTCAACTAAAAGTTGTTGAGACAAGCTTCAAACTCTTCATTAACTGCTCATCAAATAACTGCAGAAGGTGTGATTGCAAACTTACATACAGCTCAGCGAGTTAATCATAATGCTTTTCACCTTTCGCACAAAAACTTCAGCAAAAACCGCCTTTGACAACAAATCACATAAACAATCAAATAACTTTTGCAAAGGACCACCTAACATGGAAAGAAGAGTGGCAAAAAGTGTTATTTTTTGACAAACGAATTTGACTTCATGGTTCGGATAGATGGAATTATTATTTTCACAATTAGTGTGACAGTAACAATGTCAAATGGGTGGTGGTGGTATAATGATTTGGTTAGCAATTGGGTATCATGGTAAATCAAAAGTTCATTCACAGAAAAATAAAAGCTAAGGATTATTTTTTAATTGTTCATGAATTTAATTTTTATAGGTGAAGAAATTTTTGTTTTTCAGCAATATAATGCTAGCATTCATACAGCTAAGGTAAAAAAGGAATATTTCAACATCAGTAAAATTGAAGTGAAACATTGAAGTAGCCAACTAGATCTACAGACCTGAACATTATTGATAATGCTTGGGCATAGCTATCACATATAGTGTTTGAAGGTGGTAAACAATATAGTTCACTAGATGACTTGAAATCATCCATTGCACATGCATGGGATGTAATTGACATTTCATACATAAAAAAGTTGTATGATGCTTTACTTTCTAGAATAATTGAAGTGATTAAAAAAACATGGTATAAGTACTCACTATTGATTGTTTAAATTTGAAGCGCCTTTTTATATAAATGACACTTTATATGGATTTTTTCTAAAAGATTTTTTCTCATAATTTTGTAGCATTTAAAAAAAAAAATTTTATAAAAAATTTTTATAAGTCAGTTTAAAATAAATTTTTTTTAAATGTTGTTTAGTCTTGTAATCCTATTGCTCTCATTTACTATAAAAAATAGTTTTTAAATATAAATGTATAGTAGAGTTTCATAAATATTTTCGGGGTGTCTTTTCATTATGTCGCACAGTGTATGTATACATAATTAAAAAAATATATATACATATTTTAAAAAATATATATATATACACATATATACAAAATATACACATATATATAAAAATACAAACATATTTAAAAAAAAAAAAAATATATATATATATATATATATATATATATATATATATATATATATATATATATATATATATATATATATATATATATATATATATATATATATGTATATATATATATATATATATATATATATATATATATATATATATATATATATATATATATATATATATATATATATATATACACACACATACACACAAAAAAAATTTTCAGTTACTGAAGTAAAAGATACATATTTAAAAACACAACAAAAAAAACAGCACGCATATTGATATGTACTTTAAGTTATTTTGAAATTTTAAAGGATGGTTTTAAACACTTAATTTATAAACTGTAAATATTAATCAATACTAATTACCAGTACATTTGAACATGTACTTGATTTCATACGATGAGTCATCATGTTAATCAGAAGACGTTCACTAAAAACTCCAGTTTTTAATGCTTCAGTAAAATACTTCAATTCCATTAGATATGCAATACCTCTCTGAAGCAACTTGTCTTTCTGTAAACTTCCCTGAACTTTATGCACATTATTTAGAGTTAACCTAAAAAATCCATGATAAATTGACAACTCTTATTTAAGCCATATGAAATAAATATTTTAAGTCATATGTTAAGTCATAAGAAAATAATAGGTAAAATAATAAGTACATTATGATTTTAGAATTGTGATTGTAACTGTTAGCTGTGATTGAGATCACACTTATCTAAAACCACAGTTTAAAAATAAAATCCCATTGTATAATAAGAGAACACATTTAATGAAAGAAAACTTTTGAAATGTGTTTTTGGCCATACTTAATCATTTATCTTTTATTTATTTTACTTGGAAAATAAATTCAAATGGTACTTTGAGCATAAATTATCTAAGTATAAATTAGTATAAATACTGACTGCAAAGCTTTTTTGAAAAAACTGTTTTTTTATTAAGAACTGAGCATGTTCAATCTAGATTTATAAAAACTGTCATTTATTACAGCAAAAAAAAAATTCTTTAATATTTTTTTTTTCCCTTCTTTGTTTGGAAGTTCAGATTTTAAAATTGGAAGCAAAATATATTAAACAAGTGAAACCTAAGTGTACTAAAGTAAGTTTTCATCAATCTCATCTCTTGATTTCACTAATCACATCCAACAAACAGATTGATATAGCTAACAAACAGATTGATCAATTGCTTGATATTCGTATCACTCCAGCTTCTGTATCTAACACGGCCTTCTATAATAACAGGCCTTGACATCGCACAATAAAGTTGTTTAACTGAAGACCGATTTCTAATATTGTTTACATTTTCATCTTTTAACTTTAGACAAAAAGTTTGCATTTGCGCTTTTTTAATCTTTTAAATTCAATTGGTTTATAATTTAGATAGCACAACTTCAAGACGTAAAAGTTAACATTGTAAAGTAATATTGTCAAACTAATGATAAGATACTTTAATAATTAAGATGCCTTTAAAATGCTGTATACCTCTTTGCAAGTGGAACTATTACTCAACTACAACAAAAGTATCAATTTATAAATTCCTGAAGAATCCAGAGGAGAGAAAAAGATGGAGAGATGCTACCCCAAAAACAGATTTTGTTTCAGACTATACAGCAGTATGTCGACAGCGTTGGCCAGAATATGCACCTTTTGAAAACAAATATGGGAAGCAATGACCTTTAAACCCACCATCTGTTTTTTAAAATACTACTCCTAGTTGTTTACCCACATCGCCAAGTAAAGTTAGAAAAACTGTATTTTCAAGTGGTTTTCAAAACATTTTACCAGAGTTAAATGATTTTCTAAAAGAGGATGAACTTATATTTGACGATATTCAATCTTTGTTAAGTAATAATAACAATGTTATTGTTTTCCAGCTTAATAAAAAAAGTTTACATATACAATCAAAAATGTACAAACTTGGTGTTCCATCATTTCTTTCAGAAATTTTTAATGATTACTCATTTATAGCTTACAATAATGGCTCAACTTTTAATATTTCATCTTTAACAGTAAACAAATTAAAGTTAATAAAAACAAAAATCAGCTTTATTTGAAGCAGTTTGATTTTTTTTTAAATAAAGAAAGTTTGCATCAGTCAAATATTCTATTCAAGCATCTTAATGCTATGAGAAAAGTTAATGTAGATTAAGTTTTATATACTCTGGATATGTTATGTAAAGCATATGAGCATTTTGCTATGCAACGAAGTTTAAATGATCTTTTGTGTATTGACTACAAGTTGCCAAGTGTATGGACTTTAACGAAATTGACTTCAAAAATAAGCTCACTGGAGGACATAAATTTCCTAAATAGTATTTTTACGAATTTAGATCCATTGAAAAGAACTTCCATACTTCTAATTGATGAAGTTTATGTTGAAGCTTCTTTACTTTACCAAAGAGGTGCTTTGTTTGGTCATGCAGTGAAATATCCAGAAAAGTTAGCTAAAACAATTTTATCATTTATGATTAAATGTCTTATTGGAGGTCCAGATTTTATATGTAGAGTTCAACCTATTACAAATGTTTCCTCTGAATTTCAGTTTGCTTAATGTCAACAAATTGTTGATACAATAAATAATATTGATAAGAAAAAGACACTGGCAATAATTACTGATGGTAACCGTGTCAACAATTCAACAATTTTTTGAAATGTTTAAAACAGTTGAGAGTAAACCATGGTTAACAACATGTATTTATATATTATTATATAAGGTATATAATTATTATATGATTATGTGTATCTTTTTAAATTTATACAAAACAATTGGTTGACAGAAAAGACTGGCAAGCTTTAATTTTTGCGCAATGGAAAACTTGCTCTGGCAAGTGGAGTGATTTGGAAACTTTATATAAAACTGTCACCTAGTGCTGGCATTCGGTTTAGAAATGAATAATGTAGAGAAATCCACTCAGTTGGTGATCAATAGTTACAAGTGCTACGAGATATTACTGAACTGCCAAATTTTATGAAACCTACAGATATGCGTGTAAAACAGTTTACACTAGATACCAGCAATGCAATAGCAGAAACATGTTATGACTTTATGGATTTTGTAGAAACTTTGTTAAGTAATGAAGCAAAGTGTGTCTTATTAGGTTGGTTTTCAACAGATCCATTAGGAAGTGCTTTTACTAAGCTTTGACAGAGATCTGGAGGTACTTATTTAATAAATGTTCTTTAAAAAAAAAATTTATTATCACCTAAAATTCTTATTCTAAAAAATTGAAGTAACAAAAAAAAAAAAAAAACTTAATAAAAAAACTTATATATAAGTGAATCATTAATTATTATAATTATTTAACTTGTAATTGAAAAAAATCATATTCAACATAGTAAATTGATATTGTAACTTGACAATTCTGTAGATGGTATCGATGATATTACTTGCGATGTATGTTGTAGAGATATTTCTACTGATGTATGTTGTAGAGATATTTCTACTGATGAAGAAGAACTGCTAGATAATATATATGATCTTGATAGCTCAGTTAATAAATCTACATTAGTATCTTTAGTTTACATAGCCGGCTATGTGCAAAAAAGCAAAATAAAAATGTATAATGACTACCAATTATTACTAAAAATGTGGAAGTTATCTGAATAGCCTAAACAGGCGGACTTTAAATTCTTTCTGATACTCTTGTCCAATCGTCAATGTTTTGCTTTTTCTTTTTTCAAGATGCTACATGACCATTATGCAGAACATTTTGTGTCACTCAGTTTCAGTTCAAAGCAGCTAAATATAAATTTAAAATCACAAAAAAAGCAATGCAGAAAATATTCTAATATTTTGCTAAAGAATTACGCACGAATTACCACTGTCAGTAGCAGCAAAGAATCTAAAACGAAAATATTAACGCTATAATAATTGTGAAATATAATAATAAATGTGAAAATTACTTTTGTAATTTATTTTTCTGTTTTTATGTTATGTTTTTTGTTTCCTCTGTAGCCTTTATGTCTTTCAATATATTTACCCTTTTGAGATATATTAATAAAAAAAATTTTTTTGCATGAATCGATTTTTGTTGGTGTTTTTTATTGTTGTTGATTTTCATATTTTTAATGAAATTTGAAATATGAAAAAAAATATTATCTTTTAAGAATCTTTTGGTTTTCCTTTTATATTTCCATCTTTATTAGAGATTTTTATTAGAAAACATTGACTACCATTACATCCTACCTAATATAAGAGCATATCAATAAAAGTAATAAAAGTTTAATCAGCCTTCAGTTTCTATGGCATTTTGTGTGATGTCAAGGCCTGTTATTATGAAAGGAGGAGGTATCTAAAGTAGTTTTCTGTTTAGACTCTTCTACAGCTTGTGGTCCATTCAATATACCTGTTTTAAAGTCTTGCAAAGGTTTTCTCTGGAGCTATTGCCTAAAAGCACTTTCAAAACTATTTAACAAGTGCTTATCAGAATATTATTTTCCAGCCTACTGGAAAGTGGCATTTGTTATCCCTATTTTAACAATTCTGGAGAGGGATCTGACTCGTCTAACTACCGTCCCATTATTCTTTTTCCTATCATAAGCAAAGTTTTTAATCTTTAATTAGAAGATATTTTATCTCTCATCTTGAATCTAATAATTTACTTTCTGATCATCAATATGGATTTTGATCTTCTGGTTCTACTACTGATTTGTTAATGGGAATAACTGATAGGTTTTATTGTACATTAGATGTGGAGAGGTTAAGGTTATTTCTAAAACCTTTGATAAAATTTGGCATGCTGGTCTTCTCCATAAGCTCTCTTCTTATGGTGTATCAAGTAACATCTTGAAGATAATTGAATTCTTCCTTACCAATCGTAGTATAAAAGTTGCCCTTGATGAGAAGAATGAGATGATTGTTTTAGAGAGATCAAACCATGATCAATCAGAAGTATGATTAAACCGTGATCAAAAACTATGATTAGAAGACTATGATCAGAAAACCATTTAATATATATATATATATATATATATATATATATATATATATATATATATATATATATATATATATATATATTTAAATTTATTTGCCAGCCATTACTTTTTTTTTATGTTTATTTAGTCCTAATTAATGGTAAGAAAAACTTTATCTTTTTGTCACATTACAAAGTTTGTTTGCACTTTTATTGTGTTTTTGCTAATTTGTGTCACATTTTACTGTCTATGAATTAAGTGCCTCAGGTTTTCACTATTTTTAAAAAAGCTCTAGAAATTGATGTAATATTCTCTAATAATGATTGTGTTATTCTATTTTAATAAAATTTGCAAAATGTTGCCGATTAATAGAATGATATAAATATTTTTCTTACTATAAGTACATGTTTTTGTGCATTAATTTTTTTTAATGTATACCACACAATCAATGATGAATTGTATTACAAGTCCTATTAGCTTTTCAAGAGAGTTTATTTGCAAATAGCCTTAAATGACGTCCTTTTATAATTAAAACTTTGCAGTTGAGTTCCTCAATATTTCCATTATTATGTATATATTTGTTTGATAAGTTTTAAGATTTAAATGTGTTAGTTGTATTATATGATAATTAGATGTAATCATCTAATCTGTCTATGTAATTTAATAATAGGTAAACCTTTTTTTATTATTATTCCTTTTTGAGAAAACTAAATAATAAATAATAAAATTTTAATAAATAATATAATTTTAATAAATAAAAAAGATTTTTGTTGATACTGTCAAATAATAAATTATTTCAATCTTAGTCTGTTAAACTATTTTTATTTTATTTTAGTATTAGTTTTTTAGTATAAGTAAATCGCATTACATTTTAAAACTATTTAAGTTTTGTTACTTTAGATAGCCAAGCATCAAAAGCCAAGTGTCAAAAAAAAGACAAATATTTCAAAATTTGAAGCAAAATAAAAAAGGTCTGTCGTTTTCTTATAATATTCAAATTTTTTGATCAACAGCAATTTTCTTTTAATAGTTTTGAAAAAAAATTTTCCTTATATTTTTTTAAATAATAAAATGTATAAAAAAAACCTACTTATAAATTTCAAGATATTTGTTATTAATGAAATTTGGTAAACCACAGTTAGAAGGGTTTATGTTCTGATTCATTTTAAACTTTTTATTTGATTCATTAGAGATAACATGTAGTATTAACAATGCATAACACCAAACATGAGCTTTCACATCTAAATTTTTATATTTTTCAAACCAACTTTTCAGCAATGAGCTCAAAGCAGATTGAATAAACCTGGAAAAAAAAAGAACAAAAAAACATATCAAAAATAAAACTGAAACGAAAAAATAAAATAAAAATTAAACCCTAAATAGCTGTATTTGAAATATTACCTGAGTAACAAATAGGCTTTCTGGGCTATATCAGACTTAATAATTCGTTAAATTTAGTAAAATGAATAAAAGATAATATCTATTGAAAGCTTTAATAATTTATAAATTCATATCAAGTAATATAATGGGTCATTCCAGCTCAATTCAATTTATACTCGGCACCATGTCATCTCAGATTTTGATGATTTTTGATATACAAACTTAAATTAATGAAAGAAAACTTCATTCCATTTTAGTGTCTAACTCATTATGGTGTTAGAGCTATCAATACTTAACCCCGATCTCTTTTTTTGATTGTTCATTTCAGCACCATTTATTTTTTGAGTTAATTGCATAACACAACTTTAACTTATGAAATACTCGCTCAAAACTTGAAAATTTGTTTAACTATTTTTTAAGAAGAGAAATTCAAAAATGATATAAACACTTAAAAATTAAAGCTTTTATATGAAAATTCAATTTCAAAATGGTGTATTAAATTTTATAAGTTTTCTAATGCCCCCCCGTAAAAAAAAGAGTATATCTTGAAATGCCTAAAAAATATGAGTATGAAATTTTTCCTATGGTTCTTTATATAACAGACTCTTTATTACAAAAATATAGCAATGGGCAAATCTGATTTATTTGCATAGAAAATTTTGTTAAAAAGTTAAAAATTGTTATTTAATTATTAAAAAAAAAAATATGCACTTACTATTTGCATTTTTTTAAATAGATTTTAGAATCTCAGGTATAGTTTTAATATATAAATTTGTTTGGACTTCACATTAAAAAAAAATTTCTATTTACAAATCAATCTTCAAATAATTATATTTTTAAAATTATTTCTTACAGAACTAAAAAATAATATAAAAATATGAATGATAAAAAAAAAAAGTTCAATTGGATTAATAAAGAAACTTGTCACAAAAAACATATGTGAAATCCAATCATATCAAGAAGGTTTCAAGCTTCAACGATGTAGAAAAATATTTGATAGTTAGTTGCACTAGCATTGAAATTGAAGAAAATGCAAAGGTTTGCTTACACCATGAATATGTTTACTTAAAACGTTTCTCCATAACCTTTAAAAATTGCTGTGATCCATTTAATTCAAACAATTGAAAAAGAAGAAAAGGTATTATTATTGTGAAAATATTTTTAAACTTCATCATATACACTAGACTTTTTTTTTAAAAATATTCACTGAAACAGAAATTGTCACTCGTGTTTTTAGGAGGATGTAAAGAAATTAGCATAAAACTTGCCAGAAAATTGAAAAGTATTTGTATTAATGTTATTCCTGGAGAAAAGATATGTTCATCATGTATAATTAAACTGATGTTATTTAAGGATGATGGACCAGGAGAACCAAATTGTTAGAGAATTGTTGAGAAACAAATTGCTGTGAATAAGAGTCACTCAAGAGTTGCTCTCGGTAAAAAGAGATAATTATAAGTTCAAAAATCAGTTAAGCTAGGTATTAAAAGAACGTTAAATATAGACCCTGATTATTAAGCAAAGAAGATTTCTTCAATAAATTGTATAAGTTAAACATAAAGCAAATGACATGGATATACTAATAAAAAAAAGAAACGAAAAAAAGTTAATTTCCAATTGGAATCAAAAAATTCAATTACTAACACTGGTTCCAATATCTTGGTCTAGCAAATGTATAGAAAAAGCTGCTGCAGAAAAATAGTATTTTATCTTTCCTTGAAGAAAAAAAAGGAAAGGAAATATCCCAAGAGACTATAGATAAAAATTATTGAATGTTATTGTAATGATGAAAATAGTTGATAAACATCTGGTAAAAAAGATTTTGTGAGTATAGCTCAAAGATCTCATAAGCAAAAGCGTTTGATTTTCCTAAATCTATTAAAATAGTATGCTAAGTTTAAAACCAGTTATCCTAATATAAAAACTTGCTTTTGCTCAACCATCCAAAATGGTGCCAAACCATCCAAAATTTAGTCAAAATTACAGTAGGAACATCTGTTTTGTATACTGTATAAATGTGCACTTACCACCAAAATGTTAAGTTAATGATTAGTCCAGTTGAATTATCAACGAATTATCTTGAACTTATTGATATGCTTCAAGCCCTCCCAGGAGACATGGCAGTTCGTCTCATATGTCAATGCATAAGTTTTTTTTTTTAGACAACTTGGTCATGGCTGTTTGCTAGTTTTATTACATTAAGTGTTTCAATAATTTGCAGTAAAAACTTTCAAAAAAAATTTCAAAAACAAAGAAAGCAAAACTAAGGAAATTGAAATAAATTTAAATAGGAAAAAAAATAAAAAAAAAATTATTAATTAAAATAATTTTTATAAACAAATTTTTTACAAAACTGTTAAAGATTGTTAATTCTTATTCCTAATTTTAAATATTCTTATTATAATTTAATTACTCCCATAGTTTATTTTTGTATTTTGAATATTTTTTTGGTTTAGTATTATAAAACTTTCAAATTTCAAATCTGATTTAAAAAAGAAAACCTTTCCAGTTTTTTTGTATTACGATGTTTGTTACATATAGAACATTAGTATAAAAAATTCAGAATTATGTATTTTAGGCATCTCAAGATTTTTTTGTACAAGGCGTCAAAAAACTTACAAAAAGTATATTTTTTGATGTCTTCAAAATGGTGTAAGTATTACACCATTTTAAAATTGAACTTTAATTTAGGTGTTAATATTTTTAGTGTGTTAGCAATCATTTTTAAGTTCCTCTCCCTAAAAAACTGTTAGGTACATATTAAACAAGTATTTAACACTATTAAACAAGTATTTCATATGTTAAAGCTAGTTGTGCTATGCAAATAGCTTAATGGCACTAAAAAAAAAATGAAATTCAGAATGATTATCAATACTTATGAAACCATAAGAAGCCAGACATTAAAATTTGGAGTGAAGTTTTCTTTCATTAATTTAAGCTTTTATCCCAAAATATATCAAAATCCAAAATGGTATAGTGCCAAAAAAAAATTTTCGGGTTGATTTTTGGAATGACTCTAATATAAACTAGATGCATTCAATAAAAGCTTTTTTTTTCCTTTTCAAAAGCATTGAGTTAGAAAGGCAACAGCAACTACAACTTTATAATCCTATATATAAAACATTTTTGTAAATTGTACTAAGCTGAGATTTTACCATTTTTTTTTTTAAAGTTTTCATGACAATTTCTTTTTAACTTTTGATTTATTATTATAACATCTATTTTACACACAAATACAGTAAATAATAACTAAAATATATTATTTATAAATAAAAATATTTGTTTACATATTTTGATAAAACAATTTTTTTTTTTATATTTTACATTCATATTTAAAATTTCTTATCATAGTAATTTATTTTTTTTAAATATAATACAAAAACAAAAACAAAAAACTTTAAAAAGATACCATAAAAAAGGGGGAAAATTTCACTAAAAAACTTTTGTAACTTTTTGATATATTTGTATTTTTAATTATTTCAATTTAAAAAATGTGTATTTTTTTTGTTTTGTTTTGTTTTTTTAAAAAATATACTAAATATATAAAAAAAAATTGTGTTACCTTAAATACTTTTCAGGAAAACATTGCAATAGATTTTTTAATATATCACCATAACACCAATTAAAACTTTCCAATGATAAATTTTCAAAAATAAATGATATGAAATTGATTGGCACAAAATTAACTAAATCATGGTCATCATAAAAGATTAGTAGTAGTGATAAACTGCGAAAAAATAACTCAGGTTGTTTAAAGTTAGAATAACATCTTTCAATAGCTGTGAATAACTCCTAAATATTAAAAATGTTTACATACATATTTAAATATTCATATGTTTATATAAATATGCACACACATAAAAACATATACACATGCACACATACACACACACACATGAATATATATATATATATATATATATATATATATATATATATATATATATATATATATATATATATATATATATAACGAGGTTGAGCTTATCCAATAAGAAAATGTTTTGAGCAGGTGAGGCTCTTTTTCTAAGGCCTGAGGTGAAGATAACCCACCTAGAAGATGGAGAACTTTGAAATATAAACACCCAGTTTATAAAAACCTGCTTTAAAGCCTCATTATGTTAAATTTAAAAAAATTTGAAGACAGGCTTTTGAAGTGTTAAGCTAACTGCAAAGCAAAATCAATCATTTGATTAAATAATGCCCATTTAAATCTTATTTAAAAATTTGGTTTTTGCCTACATAACTAAATTTTAATCAGACATTTTGTCCAGGACAATAAATAATTGTGAACAAAATTTCTCAATTTAAAGTTTTAAATTAATTTAAAAAGCTTAATTAAAAAAAAAATTAACTTTTATTCAACCAAGTAAATGATAACCAGATGGATATGTGGTGGGACTTTATAAGAATCTAAAAAAATAAAGCCATGATTTTAAACAAAGATTAAGATAAGTGAACGTATCTGATGGAGTACATCATAGACAATTAAGGTGGTTTAAGCATATAGAGATTAAAAATGCATTTGATTGGGTGGATTCATTTTGAGAGTTTCAAGAAAAAGGGTAGAATTAAGAAAATTTGAAGTTTTACAGATGATATACAAAGTCTATTTTAAGAAAAGAAGATATGTATAATGGAGCAATAGCATTATAAGAAATATCCAAACAATGTAAGTGCAGAAACTCAAGCTCAAACCCAGTTGCTAAAACAATGAGGATGACAGAGAAAGCAAAAAATAGAAATACATAGAAAGATACTTTATTTTATTTTATTACTCTCATTTCCTGTAAAAACAATTTTAAAATAATTAATTTAGTATTATGAAAACTTGTAACATTAATTGACCTTATAAAAGATACAGAAGTAATAGAAGTTAAAAAACTGTTTAATAAAAGTGAGTTTATGTAGTTTATGAAAATGAGTTTTATTTTAAACAAGGATATAAAAAATTTGAAAGTGTTAGCATTGGTAATAACTTTAAATATAGTTCATTTTTATGGCATTTGAAAACATGAATTTATTTGCTATCTTAAAATTTTATTTCTTCTTTCAAAAAATCAAGTAATTTTTAATGTCTTGATATGTTGATTTAAATTATAAAACATTGAGCATTAACCTATCTGAAAAATCAATCACAATTGGTACTAATAATAAAAATAATAGCAATAGCAATAGTAATAAAAACAATAATAGTAATAACAACAATAATAATAATAATAATATTAATAATAATAATTGTAATTATAATAATAACAACAGCAGCAACAACAATAATAATGACATTTATAACAGCAATAATAATAATAATTGTTATTATTACTACTACTATTACAATAATAATATTTGTATTGAGTTAATTTAATTTCCATTAAACTCCATTTCAAAATAACAATGTTTTTAAATAATTCTAAAGTTTTAAAAACATACTACAATGGGTTGATTATCCTTGATTTTTTTCCAGTGTTCTTGAATTTTTTCAGTCATAGAGTAGGCATGATAAAAACCTGATATCAAACTTCTAATAAACATTGAACTTTCAATTATATGTGTAATATCCTCAAGTAAACTAACATACATGTCAAAAATAGTAACATATATTTCATTTGTTGGATGATTTCCTTTAGAAAAATAACTTTTAAAAAAATTTTTAATAACTGAAGACATATTTTCTTTCTGAGAATTTTGTTGTGAATAATATAGGTCATCAACTTGAAAAAATGTGTCATCTGGAAAAGAAAAAAAAAAAGAAAAGCCTTGAAATTAAATTTGCAAACAAAACAATATGGTATTATTTATCACTATCTATTACAAAACATAGAACACTATCTATTATAAAACATATAAAATAACATAAAATGCAGAAATAAAAAAATTAAAATTAAAATAAAATTTACAATTTTAAGCGATGCCTACGATAAACCTGTGTCTTATTTCCTAGAGATAAATCAGCTTCCCTAACTAATATTATTAGCTCCCCTAAAAACATGCTATCCAGAATAAAATGCTTTTTTACCAAAAACAATTGGACATTTGCCTAATTTATTTTTTAAACACTTATAGCTGCTACTTTGTTTGATTTACTTAACTTTGTTTCTTCCTGAACTATATTAATTCTTTAAACCAAATTGATATATATTTTTAACACAGGTCAGTATTTAAAGTGATTTTACCTGAATGCTTTGCAGAAATCAAAATAAAACAATATAGTAATAGTACTTATATCTAAATAAAAATTTAAATACAGATTTATTTGATGATAATAAATCCATATTTAAACTTCGATAAAAACTATGATATTAAATATTACAAAAACTAACAAACCTTTATCAAGAATATCTAAAAAGTCTTTACTTATAATCAATACACGATTAGTAAGTGCGGTTGAACCTGGAGCAAATTCAAGATGTTCCCAAATAGGTTTCTGTTTACTAGTTATTACATATTTATATTCAACAGGATTCTTTTTGAACATTTCTTTTGAGCAAAATAGATTTCCTTTGTAAAGATTTCCCACTGGGGTTTGTCTAGAATATAGAATTACTATATGTTAATACTTAAGTTTGGATAAGTAGTAATCCTAACTATGTAATTATTAATGTGACACAAATTTCATTATTTTCATTGAAAAAGAGAATATGAGTACTTAATTATCTTATTTACTACAAAATTTCCTTTAAAGAACTACTATTTGCACTGACATAAAGCTAGTTTATATAAAGTAGTATACAACTGCCGCCATATTTCAGAGGATTTTAATTAATTTTTAAATAATGTCAAGAAATCACACTAATTATGATGTTAATACTAATTTTTTAAAGGTATTTATATAAAATGTAAGATTATCCAGGTCATATTTTAAAAATCCTGAAAATTGTGCGGGTAAAATATCCGGAAAATATTTTCACTGATTTTCTTCTTAATTTTGCTTTTAGCTGAGTTGTTTTTAATTTTTTTTTCAAACTTATCTTTATTTTTTATGAGTGATGAGTGAAAAAGTTTATAAAATTTATAAAGCTTAAACAAATATATCACAAAAATTATACCTTAAAATTAAAATTTATCCGGAATATCAAGAATTCCGTAAATATCTGGAAAAGGATAATCCCTGTATATTTTTTTATTTATTTTTTGTATGTATTTAGGTGCTTACAGAAGTCCTTACGGTTTTATCATAGAGCACCACCGGAGAGCATTTAACAGGAAGTTCACGCCTCCTTCCGTACCAATGTCACTTGTTGGGCTAGAGCTGGCAACCTGGGACCTCTGGGTTCTGAGCCAGAACTCTAACCACTGCGCCACGGCTGCTCTATGTAAAATATCTATCTAGCCAATATAGATATCATAAGATATCTATAATGCTGTATTTGCTTTTGCTTATATACTTTAAATAAAAATAAGTATTAAGCTATGTTTTAAAGTACACGGCTAGGTTTTTTTGTCTTGGTAACCAGAGGAAAGATCTAGACACTCTATTAACAAGTTGTCAACTATATATCTATGATTCTCATTTTGATGCTAATTTTTTAATACAACAATATAGTAATGAACAGTCTTTGTCAGAGTTATTTCAATTACAGACTATAGATATTCAAGAAAACCCATGCTCTTACATTTAAAAATATTATGAACAAAGAAATTTAGCATGTAGTTTTAGAAGTTTGTCTCAAAGTGACCAAAATGTCTTAACTTGAAAGATATAATCAGCATCATTACAGACTTAACAGATCTCAAGTATTTAAAATAAAATTTATTACCCTCTTCAATGATTTTTTCAAAAATGGAGTCTAGGAAAAGTTGTGACTTGTGTTCAGATTGAACTTTAAAAATTACACACTTTATTATAACTTCTATAGTATAACTGATTTCAAATTTTATATTCAATACTATTATAGATATAATATTAAGCATACAAAAGTTAATAATGTAAAAGTTCAAAAACTTGTCAAAACTAAAATTTATGGATACCAGCAAAATTAATCATGTTCAACCTGTTTCTTTTTTATTTTTATAACTGAAAGGTTTACAAAAATGCTGTAATTATTATAAAAAATTAGTAAGAGTAAAATAGATGTAAAAGCTTTTAAATCAAAATTGAGTTTTCATTTGTAGTTTACTAAATAATCATGAAGTATCAGTCAAACAACTTGTCTTCTGAATAAAAAATATTGATTTTAAAATTAATTTTATTGCTATTAACCAGCATGAATTATTAAATTTCTTCAACTAAGTCTAAATGCTAAAAATGCTTAAAGTTGCGGCTAACAATCAATACTTAAAAGTATTGTTATGTAATACTATAATAATATTGTTTATAAATGTTAATGTGTTTTTTTTTAGTTTTAAAACAATTTTAATTATTATTCTCATATTATATAGTTGTACACACTAAGGTATGTCATAAAATAACATTTTTTGAAAATGATACCCCCTATGTAATAAATTATTACTAAATTCTATGTAATAAACTAATACTAAATTTAAAAAAAGTTTAAAAAAATTTTTAGGAGTTGCTCAACACCCTTAAACATCAGACAGGTCCCTAATATTTAAAAAAAAAAAGTTCTTTAAAAGCACATCATATTTGGTCTCAAAAAAAGTAAAATTTTATAGAAATTTCAAAAATAAAAATTTTTGAAAACACTAATTCAAAAAGTTTATTTTAAAAAATTCTGAAAATATGTACTTTTCTATTTTTTGTTGAAAAACAATTTTTATAAGCCACAAAATTTAAACTAGTAATTTTTATATAAAATGATTACTATTTTTGAAACTTTTAAAAAATTGCACTTCTTTTGAGACCCAACATAATATGCTTTTAAAGAACTTTTTTTCTTCAAAATATTAAGGACCGGTCTAATATTTAAGAGTCTTGAGTGACCCCTGAAAAAATTTTTATTCAAAATTTTTATTAAGGTTAGTTGGCATAATTTTGGCGGGGCAAGTTAACCGTATTAATTTTGTTGTATTGTATTTATGTTGTATAAGTATTGGCCGTATTTACTAAACCCGGTTGCAATTGGACATAAATTTCAACTTTTTCTACAACTTTTGATTTATTTTTTTAAAAATCAATTAGATAGATCACATATATTACATGCGAAACTATAAAAGAAAAACAAATAAAATCTAGACAGGTCAGTATATATATATATATATATATATATATATATATATATATATATATATATATATATATATATATATATATATATATATTGTATATAAAAATTATGTTGGTGCTATTATTTACAAATAGACTGCTCAATGATCTTAAAAAACTTTTAAGATATATTTTATAACTGTGTATTAGTATGTGTTATAACACATACTAATACAATGTGTGTGTGTGTGTATAACACATACTAATATATATTAATATGTGTTATATACACATACACACACATATATATATGTGTGTTATAACACACACACACAAACACACACACACACACACACATATATATATATATATGTGTGTGTGTGTTATAACACATACTAATACTAATGTGTGTGTTTACACACACACACAGTTATATAATATAACTGCTATGTTCTTTAACACATAGTGTAATGTGTGTGTGTTTGTGTGTGTGTAAACACACACACACATACACACACACACAGAGAGACACACACAGACACACAACACACACACACACAGACACACACACAAACACACACACAGTTATAAAACATAACTGCTATATTCTTTAACACACACACACACAGATATATATATATATATATATATATATATATATATATATATATATATATATATATATATATATATATATATATATATATATATATATATATAGTACATACATCGACTGAAAAATAGCCTGACTCGCAGTGAAGTGCTGCTACATCGACTGAGGGTTTGGGATGGGAAGCAATCATTTTATTCATCATTCTTCGTTTTTTCTTCTTCTTTTTCGAAAAAAACGGTATAGCTAAAGGTAAGCAGAAAAAGTGAGCTAATGCTTATCAAAACACGCTTTAGTAAGTGTATATATATATATATGCACACACACGTGTGTGCATATATATATAGTGTTATTTGTTTTAATATTGATATTGTTTATTTAAGTCTTTACTGATTTACAAGAAGGTCTGTTGGAACATTATGTGACTAAAGCTTCTGATATTTATTATGGACTTTCTCCTAAAGAAGTGAGGAAACTAGCTTATCAGTATGGAAAAGCGAATAGCATAAAAATGCCTCATAATTGGAGTGCAAATGAAGCAACTGGAGAAGACTGGTTCAGTGCTTACCTCAAAAGGCACAAAAAACTGTCAATAAGAAAACCTGAGGCAACAAGTCAAGCACGTGTTTCCATTTTAATCCAAAAAATGTTCAAAAGTTTTACAACAATTTACAAACTATTCTTAATCGTTTAAAGTTAGAAAGTGGAGATATTTGGAATATGGATAAAACTGGTATTACCACAGTTCAAACTCCAGATCATATTGAAGCAAGAAAGGGTTTTAAACAAACTGGGCGTGTTACTTCGGCTGAGAGAGGCAATTTAGTAACTGTGGCAGTTTCTGCCAGTGGAAATTCGATTCCTTCATTTTTCATATTTCCTCATGTGAAATTTAAAAGCTATTTTTTAAATGGTGCTCCTGATGGAAGTGCAGCCGCTGCAAACCCATCTGGTTGGATGACTGAAGTTCAATTTTTGCAGTTTTCCCATCATTTTGTCAAATATGCCAGAAGTACAAAAGAACGACCTGTTTTGTTGCTATTAGACAATCATGACTCTCATCTTTCAGTAGCAGCTTTAGATTACTTTAAAGAAAATGGGGTATCGGTTTGTTCATTTCCTCCTCATTGCAGCCATAAACTTTAACCTCTAGATCGAAGTGTATTTGGACCTTTTAAAAAATACACAAACACAGCTTGCGATGCACAATGTCTATTTAAAGTATACCAGGTATTGTGGGTAACTCATTTCCATTAGCATGTACCCCTAAAAATATCAAGGCTGGTTTTGCAAAAACAGGAATTTACCCACTAAATGTTAACATTTTTGGTGAACACAATTTTATGCCAGCCTATACCACAGATAGACCACCTCCAAAACAAGACTGTGCTGTGGAAAGTACAGCGCTAAATATAAGTAATGTAACGGATGTTGACTTTACAATATCTGAGAATGACATGTTAAATGCTGGTTGCTCAAAAGATATAGAACCATGTCAAGATATTTCATATTCAAGCAGTAACGATGTACACAGTGCATCTACATAGTCAACTGTAGTTCTATCGCCTGAAGATTAAAGACCATTCAAAAAAGCTGAAACAAGAAAAAGAGTTAGTGCTAATAAAATAAGTAGAACCACATCAATTTTAACAGATTCACCAAATATGAATGTTTTAAAAATAAAGAATCAGCTAAAAAGAAAAAGTTAGCAATTGAAGAGAGAAAACAAGAAAAAAAGTTAAATGAAGATAATATTAAGATGAGTAAAAGATCAAATAATAAAGGAAGTTTACACTTAATGGAGAAAAGTTTGAATTGTCTAAATAGCTCTGTTGAAGAGGAGTGTTTTTGTTTGGTTTGTGTTAGGATGTTTTCTAAAAATAAACCAGAGGAAGTTTGGGTTCAATGCACCCAATGTCACCTTTGGGCTCACGAGTCATGTATAATTGGAAAATCTTTGTTTTTCATTTGCAATAATTGCTGATAGCCGATTTGAAACTCGCTTGTTAAAAATATTCATGTAATAAAACAATATAAGTTTTAATTCTTATTGTATAACCATAAATTGGGAACACTGTTTTGTTTTGTTTTTTGTATTTTTTAATTATATTTACTTTCTATTGCTTAAAATATTACAATGACTTGATCCAAAAGTTTGATGATATTGATAAAAGTATATTTCAGCTATGATTCCTTTAAAAAAAAGGGGCGGGGGTTAAAATATTATTGGAATACACTTAAATAGGACCTTTAACTTTAGCTTTTATTATTGCGAGTCAACTTACCCCTTGAGTATAAGCAACTTACTCCAGGGTGGGGTAAGTTGGCGCAATTTTTTTTTTTTTTTGAGGGCCCAGAAAGGCCCAAAAATATTTTTTTTGTAAATGAATGCAACTTTTGTAAGTTACCCAAATTCATACTCTACGAAACTACACTTTTATATTTTCAAAAAAATGTTCCGTTAGGACTACAGAGCTCATAGAGTAAAAACCGAGTCCATAATTTCATTATTTCTGAAATTTGTAATTGCATTATTGAATAAAAAAATAATGATTACTAATTTTTAAAAATTTTTGGAGTAAACAAGGAGTATTATTAACATTTCAAGTAATTAACAAAAATCCTTGTTAATTACTTGAACACCAATTTTGTTTTGACAAAGAATAATTTAGGCTTTCAAGTATATTTTTTAAATTTATGTTGCTTAGGGTTTTCACTTGCGTTATATAAAAATATAAAAAAGTTTAATGTCTGTTTTGAGCATATTTATGATACATAGTTAAAACGCGTTCACCAGGAATTTAATGAATAAATGATTTACGGTATGTTTTACATTAAAACAAAACACAAAGAAACGCAGCTTTAGAGAAGAACCGTTTTTAACATTTAAATTCTATATCTAAAATTTATTTATTTTTTGAATTTTTTTTTGAAAAAAGTCTTTATTATGTCTTAACTCTTTTTTTTTTTCTCAAATATTCGCAATATTTTATTCAACAATAATTTACAAGGTTGCAACATCATGTTGCAAACTTGTTGATTAAATGTTGCAAACTTGTTGATTATATGTTATAAACTTGTACAAACTAGTTTTTGAATTTATATGTTGAAGATGTTACTATAAAAAACTAGTTTGCAACATTCATATTGTCTTACCAACTTTGAATAACTTAATTGTTACAACAATTTTTCTAGTGATTTTTTTTTATTCAAAAATATTCTGAACATGTTTTTAATTTAGTGCAATTAATTAACATCATTTATAGTTGATAGAGTCCCTATTGCACTATAGATATAATGTGCTCCCTTGACTGAAGTGGTCATTGGAACAATAAGGAGGTGAATTAATGAAATTTTAAAAAAATTACTGCGCAGATACAATTATAAAAATTTGATATTTTGATCATTTTTTAAAAAAACCCAAAAAACTCTTAAAACCCAAAAAAACTTAATAAAACCATTTGGGTTTAGTTTTTTTTAAAAAACCCTGGGTTTATTCTAACTCTGCTTATGGCACCGTTGGTTTTGGATAGAATTTTATTTTGATGAAGATCACACAAATTACATATGATTTTAATAACATAGGTCTTTTCTTTTTCTGTGATAGTTTCAATTCGAAAAGCATCGGCAAAGTCCCAGGATTTAAAAGTTTTTAAAATAACTTTTTTGTCCTTCAAAATACAATCCATATAATATATATATATATATATATATATATATATATATATATATATATATATATATATATATATATATATATATATATATATATATATATATATATATATATATAAACAATTTGGGGAGAATTGAAAGATACTAGATTTTTATATACTACCTTGTCTTATTTTATATAGAAAAATACATAGTCATTTGTAAAGAATAGAGACTGTCATTTAACTAAAACATGCCTTAGAATTAAGTTAACGGAGTCTGTAACACGCGCAAGAAATTTAGCAAATTGTCAAACACACAGAAGAAATTTAGCAAATTGTCTTCATTCAAAAATTGTAAGTAACACATAATTTTTTTTTCTTGTGTGCTAGCCCGCTTTTCCCTGTATATCTTAAAGTTTCTATTTGGCATATTTAGTAAGAATTTAAATTTGTTTAGAACAATGTATGGTTAATATTTAGTTAAAGATATCTGTATACCTTTAACTAATAAGAAAAGCAAATAGTAATAATTTTTCTTCTTTAATTAAGAATTTTTAGTAAAATAAAAATAAATTGTTCATATATTGGCACATTTTTTAATATCTTGAAAAAATGTCCTAATGTTTTTATTATCAGAGATTACAGGGTGTGGATGTTTTTTACATTAACTTTGTTTTAAAGTGTTTTTTTAAAATTTTTTAAATAACGCTTTGAAACAAGGCCTGATATATATATATATATATATATATATATATATATATATATATATATATATATATATATATATATATATATATATATATATATATATACATATATATATATATATATATATATATATATATATATATATATATATATATATATATATATATATATATATATATATATATATATATATCAGGCCTTGCAATAAAGCGTTGGGCGATGTGAATTTTACGTCGTCCAAGAGCGATTTTGCGTGTAGCTAGGGCTATTTGCGTCTATCAAAATATTTTTTGCTTGAGTATATTTAAAGGTATTTTTTAGCGGAGTTTTAATGTAATTTACGATTATTTTAAGATTTAATAAAGTATTTTAAAAACCGCACGCAGTTGATTTAAAAGTTTAAATTACAAAAAAAAAAAAATATGCTCATTATTGACAAATAGAAATAATTCAGATTTAAAAAAAAGTTCAAATCTTTTTAAGCTAACATTTTTATAAAATTATTCAGCAATAGCAAAGTTGTCAATAAAATTAAACAAAAATACTTTCTTTTAGTTTTAGATTTTTAACTTAAATAATTATTTTACGGGTGTTTGTTAAGTTTTAAAATTACTCCATAGATTTAAAAATGTTTATTAACTGTTAGACATATTTAAAGTATTTAAGAGTAATTTAAAGTATTTAAGAGTAATTTAAAGTATTTAAGAGGAAACTTTTAAAAAGTTGGTAGGCGCAAATAAAAAAAAAATAAATGGATTAATATTAAAACGTATTCTACTTGATTCAATAAAATAGTACAATTATTAAAATTTTTGTAAAAAGTAAATCAAAAAAAACTACCTCAATAATAACAATCGCTTTTTAGTTAAAAGTTACCAAAACTCAACGAAGCATGCTCAATTCTAACATTTTATTTTATTTTACTAGAAATAAAATTCCTTGTAAACATTAAAAATCTATTCACAACGTTCGTTAAAGTTTTTTAGTAACACGAGTGATTGTGCTTATCAACTGCTTTATGAAAATAAAAAAAAATAATTTTAAAAATATTATATAAAATCGCTGGTAAAAATATTAGCTATTGCACAGTTTTTAATCGTACAAGATTAAAACTTCCAGTTTATTACTCGCTGACTTTTTAAAAAGAAAAAATAATTATTTGAAAAACTTTAAAATACATATTTGAGAAAAAAAAAAATCAAATATTAGCATATTTTATAATCTTTTTTAAATGATTAGTTACGTTTTTTATTCAATAAGTATAGACAAAGCGTGTCAAACTTCGAGAAAATTAACGTAAAAACAAAACATTCCAAAACATTTTTAAATAATAACATTTCTACATTGATGATTTAAAGTAGTTTTGCGGTAATTAAGTAAATTGGTGCAGTTAATGTCAATAAATATGAAAAGCAAATAAAAAGAATTTAATGACGTCAAAAATCACGTCGAGCTTATGCGTCGCGCAGTTTTTATTCATCACAAGGCCTGATATATATATATTTTTATATATATATATATATATATATATATATATATATATATATATATATATATATATATATATATATATATATATATATATATATATATATATATATATATACTTGTTTGGTTTAAATAAGTTTCTAAACGCTAATTTTTTAATTTAATTATGCAATGGTCAACAAATATTATCAGCAAAAATTGTTTATAATCTTAAGCATAAAATTTAGTGTACAACTTTTTATATAATTATTCATAATTTTTATTTATTGCACGAGGGCAGCAAGTAAATTTAAGTGTTGAACTAAAATATCTCATAAATTTTGTGTTTGTATACTAAGATTAATAATAAATTATTTTTGCATTTATAAACTTTTTTTTTTGTAAATTAAACTTAAGCATTTGTAAATAAAATTTAAAATAATATATATAAATTTATGTAAGTTTAAATATCCTCTTTTATGTTTTACGCAGATAGAATGTAAATGATACGTTTCCATTGCAAGTTTCATTTTTAACTTTTTTTGTTGTTGCTGTTATCTGTGTAATTTACCAACAAATAATACAACAATATAAATACCTGTCAAAACTCATACAAACAGCAGGTTGTTTCCAATTACCAAGACCTTCATGTCCAAACATTACATAAAGATTGTCACCAGGGTTTTGTACCACAACATAAAAACATATCGAAATCATGTTAAAATCACTAACCGCAACTTTGAACAATTGGCAATTAAATCTAAACAAATTTTGATTATAAGCAAAATATTTAATTTAAAACTGTATTTGAAAAAAAAAACTTTCATACAACTTCTCTTCTTTTTGATTGGTCTGCTCTTGTGTAGCAGGTTCATTTTGATTTTTAAGGAACTGATGCTGACTATAAAATATTTTAAAAATATACTTTTAAGATTCTAATTTTTAAATTTGCTTTAATTTTTAACAACTTTTAATTAATTGGTTTTTTAAAAATAAATAATGGTTATAAAAAATGCTTGTTTGAATAATTTGTTATATACAAAATATTTTTATGTAATAAATTTGTTATATAATATTTATGTAATAAAATTTTGACTTTAACTTTACAAGTCTATAAAATACATTGGTAAAAATAAACTCTTACTATCCTGGATTATTGTTTTCATTCTGTTCTTGAGCTTTAACCATGTTTGCCTGGTCCTGAGGTTTGTTTACATTACTATGCTCCTGAGTTTTTGATTGGCTATTTTCTTCTAGAGGCGTATTCTTTTTAGTAACATTTGAGTATAAATTCTTTTGATCATTTTGATTACCAGATTGATTACTTTTTGAATATAAAATATGGTTATAAAAAAAGTTTGTTTTAATAATTCATTTTATACAAAGTAGTTTTATACAGTGCATTTATTATATAATATTAATACAATGTTATATAATTTAGATAATATTTTGACTTGTTATATACAAAATATTTTTATGTAATACATTTGTTATATAATATTCATGTAATAAAATTTTGACTTTAACTTTTTAAGTCTATAAAAAATACATTAGTAAAAATAAACCCTTACTATCCTGGACTCTCGTTTTTATTCTGCTCCTGATCTTTAACCATGTTCGCCTGGTCCTGAGTTTTGTTTACATTACTATTTTTCTGAGTTTTTGATTGGCTATTTTCTTCTAGAGGTGTGTTCTTTTTAGTAACATCTGAGTATGAACTCTCTTGACCATTTTGATTTCCAGATTGATTACTTTTTAAATCTGTTGTGTTGTTTGTATCTGGGGATACAATCTATGATACAAAGTTAATTTTTTTTAATTTATTTTTATTAGATAAATAAAACTATAAAATACATGTAAAATATTTTTCTTTATTTACATTATACTTTAGCCTAATTATACCAAAAAGATGTAAACAATTTACTTTTAAAGGGATTCTAAACTCCCAACACATGTTGTGTTCATATTAAAGATAATGTTAAAAAAAAAGGTTTGAACCAAATTTTTTTGATTAAAAATAAATAATGAATGCATACCGTGAAAAACAAATGTTGTTGTTTTTGCCGAAGCTTGTCGTTTTAGTATTTGACGTCACAGTAGATTTTTAACAAAAGAAAAGTGTAATTAAACTAAGCTGCGTTTTTCTACTGTAGTATTTTTTTAACATACAGCAAAACAAATTTATTTGTATTATTTTTCCAAACATCGCAAAAAAAATTTTCTAAAAATTAAAAACAATAAATTATTTTTATTTTATAGGAGCAACTTATTTTTTACAGATATCTTAATAATTTTTAGATTTATATCTTACTTATATTTCTTTAACTATTTAAATTAAAACAAATATTAAAGCTTTACTTACCAATCTCATGATTTTTATACGAGTATTTTACATTATATAGAACGTTTTATATACGGTCTCTTGTTTTTGCGCAAGAGAGCGCAGTATTATATATTCTGATTCTTAATTATTTTTATTTAAACAATGGGAACTATTTTCTAACTTCTCTGGTGATTTTTACGCTATGACAATTTTTTGTTTTCCCATTGAAAAAAAGTATTTATTAACAATTACTTTCATAAGCTGACAGTATTAATTAGAGATATTTAATGAATTGTTAATTTTTTTTATTATAAAATTTTTTTGATCACGCTGATTTAATTTAAATTGCTAAATTTGCTGAATTGGATACGGATAAAAAGTAAATACCATTTTATTTTACATTTGATTTTTGATAATGAAATTTTAAAAATGTCAGCAACTTTATACCAATTAGAACCTGCTAAGATTATGAAAAAAAAGTACAAGAATTCACTAAACAATACAGTTGACAGTAGTATCAGATATAAAAATTCGTGAAAGGATATGTGAGATCCTGATTTTGCATTAAAAGTACAATTAATTGCAACACAAGTCGGCATTATAAATTTTGATTATAAGTTTACTGTTCAATATTTTATAACCATCAAATAAAAAAACATGAAGTTTGTATATTTTCGCCCATTTTATACAACTAATATTTAACAAAAATACGGACAAATTATTATTAAATAACGCAATAATTAACACATTAATTAAAAGCAATAATTTAAGATAGATGGTAATTTAAATTGTTAAAATGTCATAACGCGCATTAAAAAACATATTATATTTGGTATTTCCAAATTTGTGTCGTAATTGGCATTTGTCTCTTAACATGAAAAATTAAAAAATTTAAAAACATAATTAACAAATACAAATTTTCAAGCAATTTTCTCTTCCAATTCTCATTTATTCAAAGAAAATTTACTATTAAACTTTTATTTTTCTTATCTAAAAAAAGAATGAGTGACGCAAAAAAAATATATATTCTATACAACTCTTATTCATTCAAAGTTTAATTGCGCGAAACTTTTCTTTCTCTTTTGTTCTACTCTTATAAAAAGAGCGCCTGATGAAATAAAAACTTTTCTTTTTTAACATATAATTATAGTTTGAGATAAAATTAAATTAGAAATAAATCAACAATGAGCAAAGCAACGAACAGATTAATCTGTAACTATTTTGATATTTATGAAAATAATCAAGATAAACAACATTACCAACAATAGTTATCAAATAAACAACACTATCTCGCATAATTTTAGGGACATTTTATTTTTATTGCTTAGTCGTTTTAGATAATAAGTAAATTTAGTTCAAGTTAATAATTCAATATTTACAGTTGCAATATAATAAAGAAATGGTGTTTAATACTGACTTTTTATTTAGTTATTTATTTTTTTACCTACATTTGTTATAAAAAACTTTAGAACCCCCGTCATTAAAATAATTTGTTTTAAATATATTTTGACGTGATTATTCAAACTAATTTTTTTCGTTTGACTTTCGGAACTTTATGCAAAGCAATTTGAAACGAAAAATCGTCTAACCAAATAAAAATCTGTGACTAATTTTATACGGGTAATTAATGTAAAACAATTTTTGAGATAATAAATATTCATAATTTACAAACATTAAATATACGGCGCAATAACAATTTATAGCAAGGAACCAGCATAAAATATTTGAGGTTTTTAATATCTTTTTAAATGTTAAAAATAGAAAAAAAAATAACTAAACAAATCAAAAAAATTTCGAATAAAAATAAATAGAGCAGCCGTGGCGCAGTGGTAGCGCACTTGCCTCAGAAACAAAGGATCTCTGGTTCAAACCCACCTGTGGGAGAGTCTCGCGACATCGGCTAGGAAGGAGGCGTGAACTTCCAATTAAATGCTCATCCGCGGTGCTCTGTGATAAGACCATAAGGACTTCTTGGGGAACCTAAATTAAATTAAAAAAAAAAAAATTAAAATATTTCTAGAGTTTCATTTGTTAAAAGTCTACCGTGACGTCAAATACTAAAACTTTTATGAATTAAATGCGCTTCTAAGGAATTGCCTGTATAAGTCTGTAGATTGCGACGCATAATTTGAAGATTCCGAGTGGTTGAAAAAAATGGAGAAGACGAGCTTCGGCAAAAACAACAACATTTGTTTTTCACGGTATGCATTCATTATTTATTTTTAATCAAAAAAATTTAGTTCAAACCTTTTTTTTTAACATTATCTTTAATATGAACACAACATGTGTTTGGAGTTTGGGATCCCTTTAAGTAATAACTAACAATTGTCATCACATTTAAACCAATTCCCACCAAACAGAAACTCAGGAGCACATGCTCATATAGAGGTATTTATATTGAAGGAATTATAAAAGTTTTTTTAATAAAATTAAGCAAACAGCATAAAAAGGAATTGGAATTCCAATATAAATAATAGATTTGCTTCACTTTTGCTTTTCTTTTTCAAGTGCTTAGAAAAATTAATTTTCTTTACTTAACCATACAAAATTTTATATAAAAGTGATATGCAATTATGGAAAAAGCTTTCTTTTTATTACTTTATTAGAGTTAACATTAAACAAAAATTAACATTAATTCAACTTTTACTTTAAAACTTATTGAAAGACATTTTTTGTTAAATTTTTTATGCTGTTTTTTTATATTGTATCAAAATTTTAATAATCTAATTATTTATTATAACAAAAAATTTTAACAGTAAAAAAAACTTATATTCGTTTGTTTATTACTTAATTATTTATTTATATTTAAATGAAAAAATATAACACAACTATAAGAGTGATAATATTAACATTTTTTAAAAGACATTAAATATTTGAAACATAGTAAACAATATTGATGTGATTTTTTTTTAAATCAAACTGTTAGTTGCTTTATCTTTTAAATTATTTTTCCCAAGGTTGTAGTGGCCACTACAGATTTATATTTCCTTTAAATTGTTGCTACAGTTCTCTTTCAATTTTTGAACACAAACTATGTAGAAACTATGATGGCTACTGTGATCTACCACTACATTACTAATGCATTAAATTTCTTAATATTTTAGCTAAGTGTCAAAGTTTTAAAACTGTATTTTTTAAAAAACTAATGATCACAAACTATAAAATCCCATCAGCCTTAAAAGCTATGTGCTTTTCATTTATTACCCAACCTGGTAATGAGGCAATTGCTTGGACTATTAGATAGTGTACTGAGTACTATCTGTGCTTTGAGTCAAGTTCTTTAACCCATTTAAAAAATGACTGAAGTAACAAAAACTATAAACAAAAAAACCTATCGTCATCACTAAGTTCTCTAATTTTATTATTCACTAATATTTGTGGTCTTCCAAGCAACTTTTTTTGTATTGAGTATTATCTCTTACAAAGTTCACCAGACCGAATTGCTCTTTGTGAGACAAACTTGAGTTTGGCTGTCCCATCTTGAGATCTTAGTGTTGATGGTTATCTTCCTTTAATTCATAAAGATTCCAATAGTCACATGTTTGATTTAATGACTTTAATGCTCATCACACAGAATGGCTTGGTTTTAGTGTCAATGACTTTGCAAGCGTTAAGGCCCACAACTTTTGCCGCTCTCAATCTCTAATACAAACAGTCAACTTTCCAAATCACTTTTCAGAAAATCCAAATCATTTACCTTCTCTATTTGACATATGCCTTCTAATCTTAGTGCACAGTTACTCTAACCTCATCCTTAGGTACTTTTGATTATGGTTTGACCTCTGTAAAACTACTATCTCACTCTTCTTCATCATCAGAATTCCCCTATCATTGTACCTCTTAAAACTACCTTAAAGCTGTTTGGAACTTTGTGATTTTCTTTATTAAAGTTGTTGGATAGAAGTCTTTTGTCTTTCTACTGAAAAATATGCTTCGTCTCTTGGATTCAGGCTAGCATGATATTTTTTATTTCCTCTCAACAATTCCAAGTCAAGCCTCAGTCTTCTCAATAGTTTTCCTCTCATTGTGCTACTGCAATTTCCAATCGTAGCCATTGCTTTTATATCTATCACCAAAACAGTTCTCCTGAAAACAGACATCTGTTTTCTATAGTTAGTCACCATTACAAAAAGGTTTTGTGTAATGCTAAAATTGATGGAAAGCACTCCTCTTTATTTCTTGTAACTTCAGAGGTTCCACAAGGTTCTATCCTTGGCCCTATACTTTTTTCAAGTTACATTAATGATTTTCCAAATATTCTCATATCTAAGGTAGCATAGTTTGCTGGTGATACTAGTGTTTATTGTTATCTTGATAAGAAACCAACACTCTATGATTGCTTAGAGGAGGCATTTGAGCTTGAAAAGAATCTCACTTCTGCTACAGCATGGGGCTCTTAATGGCTAATGAACTTTAATTCAAAAAAAACTTCAATCAACAATCTAGATCTTCCTATATTTATAAACAATAATGTACTCAATGAGTCATCTGCCCTTTGACAAGCATAGATAAGCATCTGCTAATCTTTATCATGCTTTATACTTTCTTACTCTGGATTTTATTCTTTATCTCTATAAATCTCAAATCCATCCTTGTATAGAATACTGTTACCATATCTAGAGCAGATCTTCAAATGATGCCCTTTCTCTTTTAGACAAGGTGTTAAAACACATTGTAAAAATGTTTATTTCTTTATAAGAAATAAATATTATTATAGTTGATATTATAGTTGATATAATAAATATTATTATAGTTGATAAAATATATATTAAAGTTGAACCTGCTTTTGCAGCCAACCTCCAATCTTTACCACATTGTCGTAATGTTGCTTCTCTTTTTTTTTTTTACAAATAATGGGCACTGCTCTAAAGAGCTAGCATTTTTTGTGCCATCTTCTAAAATTCATTCTTGAATTACTTGTCATTCAATTTAGTTTCAACCTTTTACTATGACTGTTTCTGAGTGCTGCAAAAATTCTTATTTGTCTAGTTTTTTTGCTCTAAAACCAGTTCTTTGGAATTTGTTCCTTTATCATGTTTTCCTGTTTCATACAACTTGCAACCTTCTAAGTCGTTTGTTAATACCTAGCTTTGTAAACTTCATTTTTTTCTCTTTCATTAACTTCCAACTCTAATAGTAGTTGCTTACAGACTTGGTGGAAGTTTTAAAGTGGAATGTTTAAAAAATTAAGTAAAAAAAAGTTTAATAAAACATTATCAAGCAGTAAAGTTGTAGCTCAAGACTAATCTAACTTGAAAAAATAAATTGAAGAAACTTGTTTAAATTATTAAACTAATTGCTAATGAATAATACTTAAAAAGTTTTATTGAGTTGTGAAATAAATCATTATGAAAATTAAAAAATCTAAATAATAAAAAAACAATTTCAAGAAAGTATTATCTCTGTGCCTCTATTTTTCACAAATATGAATTTTATATGTTTTTATAATGAGACTTTTATAATTTATATTATTCCTTTAAAATTATTTTTAAATGTGATTTAAGCAAACAAGTGCAAAAAATCTGAAAAACTTGAATATACAGTGTCTCATCAAATTATCCAATTAGGATGTTATTTAGCATGCATATCTTTTAATTCATGCTTCAGTTATTTTATTATTTGTCCTAAAGTAACTTATTATTGAATAGGCTTGTAAAAAAACATAAGTGATAAGACTAAGTGATATTTAGGTAAGTTTAAAATATTTGGGTAAATTTCACTTTTATGTGAAATTTATTGAAATTTTTTAGCAAATTTTTATACAATTATTTAAATTGCATTACAAAAAACTTGAACTTTTTTTAGTAAAATGGCTGGAGATAAACCTTACTGGATTGATCCCCAAAGAAATTCAGCTGTCAATCTAGTCAATCAGGGTAAAACTCATCTTCAGATGCAGCAAAAGACAGGAATTCCTCATAATAAAGTATCCAGCGTAATGAAGAAGTGTAATTTGATTATAATAATAATTGGGCAGGGTCGCAAAAAGAAGACTTCAAAGAATTTTGATAGAAACTTAATTATACAATTCAAGAAAAATCGCTTCATTTCTACTTAAAACTGACTGATCAAGCTGAAGAGGCTTATGGAATCAAATTATCCCATCAGACAATTGGAAAATGTATCCAAGACAAGAGTTTCGAAGACTTGTGCATAGTAAACCATATTTGAGAAAGTAATACATGAAAAGAAGTTTTGGAGTGTGTTAAGAAGTACAAAAACATGCTGTTATGTTTCGAAAAAATATCCTGTGGAGTAATGAATCAAAATTTAACTTAAAATCATTAGATGAATGATCTAAAAAAGTTCAGAGAAAAAAGTTAAAGAAGCCTACAAATTAAACTGCGTGAGAGGAACTGTCAAACATGGTGACAGTAACGAGATGGCATGGGGTGCAATGGCTTAAAAGGGTGTCAAAAAACTCCAATTTATTGATACTACAATAAATTAGGTGCAATACAGAAACATATTAAAGCAAAATTTGAAGTCATCTGCTCAAAAACATTGGCTAGGATAGGATTTTGCATTTCAGCAAGATAATGATCTTGCTGAAATGCAAAATCCTAGTATACTGCCGCTAAAACTAAGGAATGGTTTGCTGAAAACAATGTTGAGGTTTTGGAATAGCCTGCACAATTACCAACCTTAATCTGGTTATTGTGTGGGCCATTTAGTCAAGGTGCCAATTGAAGAAGCCTGGGAAAGGAATTAATCAAAGAAACAAAATCAAATCAATGCCTAAATGTCTAGAAGCTGTAATCCAAGCAAAAGGAGGCTCAACAAAGCGTTAAAATAATTTTTTTCTTATTTAATAATTTATTATGAAACAAAAAATGTTTGGTCAAATATTTTTTTGTAAATAAAATATTTATAAAACTTAGGTACCATTACAATAAGACTGAAAAGTTTGTGAAAATAAATAAAATAATATCACCAAGATAAAGACAAAGCTGAATTGTTTACAAAGAAATTCTCATCAATATCACCTCTTGATCGCACTACTCACATTCTACCTGATATAGCCAACAAACAGGTTGAAATATTGCTTGACATTCATAATAATACAGCTTCTGTATCTTGCTTAGACTCTAGAGGTTAAAGTTATTGCTGTCAACTTGTCTAACTACTATCCCTTAATAATAGCCTTTTTCCCATCATAAGTCTCCTTCATCATTAATCCCTATTTTCAAAAATTCCAGAGAGCAATCTGACTTGTCTAAATCATATTAGTCTTTTTCCCATCAATAGCAAGGTTTTTTAATCTTTAATCAACAAACATTTAATTTCTCACCTTGAATCTAATAACTTACTTTCTGATTATCAAAATGGAAATTCATCTTTCTCGTTCTACTATTGATTTGTTAAACAGAAATAACTGATAGGTTTTATTAAGTATTAAGTAGATGTGGAGATGTTAAGGCTATTGTTCTTGACATATCTAAAACCTTTAATAAATTTTGGCATGCTGATCTTCTTCATAAGCTTTCTTCTTACAATTTATTAGGAAACATCTTTAAGATTATTGAATCCTTTCTTACCAAATGTAGTATAAAAATTGTCCTTGATAGACAGCACTCTTACTTTTATTCTATAACTTCAGGGGTTCCTTAAGGGGTCATCCTTGGCTTTATACTCTTTTTAATTTACATTAACTATCTCCCAGAACTTCTCACATCTAAAGTAGAATTGTTTGCTGAAGATACTACCATTTATTCTTGTCTTGATAAGAAGCCAACACTCTTTGATTGTTTGGAGACAGCATTTGAGCTTAAAAACAATCTTACTTCTGCTAAAGCATGGGGCTCTCAGTAGCTGGTGAATTTCAATTCCAATAAAACCGTTTTTTCAGCTAATCATTATCATAACCATCTAGATCTTCCTATATTAATGAACAGTAATATACTTGATGAGTCATCTACCCTTCATCTTCTACAATTAACTCTAACTTCCGATCATTCTTGGAAACCATATATCAAAGCAATTGCAAAATTAGCATCTGTTAAGGTTGCATCTCTTTATCATAGTCGCCACTTTGTTACCCAGGATTCTATTCATTATCTTTATAAACCTCAAATCTGTCTTTGTATGAAATACTATTACCATATCTGGAACAGTTTATGTAGTGATTCCCTTTCTCTATTAGACAAGGTACAAAAACACATTGCAAACATAGTTACCCTGCTTTTGCAGCCAACCTCTGATTTTTACCACTTTGCCATAATGTTGCTTCTCTTTTTCTTTTTTGTAAATACTATAATGGGCACTGCTCTAAAGAGCTAGCATCATTTGTACCATTCTCGTGTCACTTGTAATTCTACTAAGCCTCATCCTTTTACTGTGACTGTTTCTAAGTGCTCCAAAAATTCTTATTTATCTAGTTTTTTCCCTCAAACATCAGCTCTTTGATATTTGCTCCCTTTACCCTGTTTTCCTGATTCATATAACTTGCAATCTTTAAAGTCATCTGTTAATTGCTAACTTACTTTATAAACTTCATCTTTTCTCTTCTAGTATCTTTCAATTATAATAGTGGTTGCTTGCAGCATTGCTGGAAGGGAAGATGTTTAAAAAAAAGAAAAAAGAAAAATACAAAATACTAAAAAAAAAGCATAAATATTGACTCATTAAGTTATAATTGGCATATCATGGAACTGCACTAGGTTCCACATCACACTCTACACATACATATCTTGAATCTTTTTGTATCTTGTATTTGTTACACACAACACCTTAAAAAATAAAGAAATGCCAAAATATTATGGCAAGTACTTGATTTTTTAAAATATAATGGGAGAGACTGTTAAATAAATTTCTTCTAAATAGTTTGTATTGTTGTAAGACTATTATGTCTGTATATGAATAAATATTATACTATGACTAAAATGAAGTAAATAACTTACTTTATCTGTAGAATTTTGATGTTTTTGCTTAGATAAATCTAATATTGTTTTTTCATCAGTTTTATTTTGTTTTTTAGATATTCCATATGAAAGTGACTTTTGTGCAGAATTTTCGAATATACTTTTATTAAACACATTTTCACCAGAATTACAAAAATCATTTTCATCAACTACTAAATCACTTTCAAGTTTTGGTTTTTGATTTATTTCTGAATTATTCAACTCATTCAAATGCTTTTCTTCAGTCTAAAACAAGTTTAATAAAGTAAAAAAAAAATGCATTTAATGAAGTTTTTGAACAAAATATAGAAGAAAAAAAACTCTTTTTGTGATATATATATACTTATATGTATATATAACACTAAAAGCATATTCAGGGCAATATTTAGGGATATCACATTGATTTAAAGAGCCTTTAGTACTTAAATAATAATACTTTAAATAATAATAAAAACATATAATAAATAAAAACATAATAAATAAAAGCACATATTCAGTACATAAATAAAAAATTTAAATAAAGTTATTAAAACACACACACATATATATATATATATATATATATATATATATATATATATATATATATATATATATATATATATATATATATATATATATATATATATATATATATATATATATATATATATATATATATATATATATATGTGTGTGTGTATAAACACACATATACATAAATATGTATATAAACACACACACATATATATATATATATATATATATATATATATATATATATATATATATATATATATATATATATATATATATATATATATATATATATATATATATATATATATATATAGATAGATTATTTTTTAAATAAATATTTAAACAATTGTTTACAATGAACATGTAAGAAATCATACATTTTTATTGAAAACAATTGTTTACTTTAAACTATTAAAATTGTTTAGCTATTGTAAACAATTAGTTACCAAAAACTGTACTTAAAAGTAACTCAATTAAATCAAACTCGTTCATTTAAAGTTTTATTGATGAAAAATATCCTGGGAAAAAATTCTCTTACACAATAAAAACAAGCAGTTTAAATTATTTTTTCCGTTTCTTTTCTTTCATATTCTGTTATAACTTCATTTTGCTTTACTGTTTTTATATTTGTATAATCAGTTTCATTTCTGCAATATATTTTAATTATTTTTCAAAAATATATTTGAAAAAATTTTGAAGTGAGACACATCTATATTGAGTAAAAAGGACTTTGTGGCAATTGACACCATAACACTTTTAGACTTAAATCAAGAAGTTTATTGGTTGAAGTTTATACTAAAATCAATCCTGTTAATAATATTTTCACACAACTTAAAATACAACTAAAATTAAAAACACAATTTAAAATAAAAAAGAAAAATACAATTTAATAACATAGTTAAAACACTTAAGAATTGTGTTTATTAAAAACTTCTTTTACCCCTGCCAGGTACTGGCAACAAAATGACTGATTCTGGGTACCAGGAAAACAGCTCAATTACAGGGTCACCAGGTCCAAACAATGTACCTGGCACATCACTAGTATATATACATATATATACATATATATATATATATATATATATATATATATATATATATATATATATATATATATATTTATATTTATATATATCTATATATATATATATACATATATATATATATATATATATATATATATATATATATATATATATATATATATATATATTTATATTTATATATATCTATATATATATATATATACATATATATATATACATATATATATATATATATATATATATATACATATATATATATATATATATATATATATATATATATATATATATATATATATATATATATATATATATATATATATATATATATATATATATATATATATATATATATATATATATATATATATATATATGAATGAAGTTAAAATATATGAAGTTAAAATATATAAATACACGCCATAGTTTTATGAAAAATATTCTTAAAAATTTTGTATAAACATTACATATGAAACTATATCTGATACATTTAAAGTAATCTAATTTTTTTAATTTAAAGAAAAAATCTTTTTGGGATTTACGAATATAAAGAAGGAATAGTTATTGACATTATTAAGGTGAAGATCAAAAGCAACCTCTGCTGTATATCTTTTATCAGTCTCATTTGGCTGATACTCGTAATCACCTTTTAACTCTAAACTCTATAAATATATTTCAGCATTATCAGCAAATTTGGTGTTAAAGGGATTCCGAAGAGCCAAAACAAGTTATGTTCTTATCTTAAATAAACTTTAGAAAATAAGCCTAAAGTCATTTAAACTTACCATAACAAATTATTAATTATTATAAATTATAAATTATTATTAGTCTTTAACAAAAGTCATTTAAATTTTTTGCTTCTTTACAATCTTATTTTGCATTCTCAAAACTAGGCTAACTCGGCATAGTGTTTTGTGTTATAAAAAATATCTGGCTTGCTTAAAGCATTTGGGTTAACTGTTGAGGTTTTTAAACAATTTAACTTGAAAAAAAAGATAGGGTTTCCTCTTATTTACAAAATATTTGATGCCCTGTGTACTTGAATTATTAAAAAAAAAAAAAAAATGGTTACTGTCTTTACTGCTGATTATAATAGTAAGAAAAACTGGGTTTAATAAAATAATTGTTAACAAATTTAATAATGAATAATTTCAAAATTATAAAAGAAAATTATTTTTTTTTTTTTAACACATAAAATCGTGCAACCTTCAGCAGTATAGTTTACCTGGTTTAATCAATATAGTTTGAACACAAAATAAGACCACCTAAAATAAATGTAGCAAAAAAGCTTTAAATTGATTGTGCATGTGCATTTTTTGAAGAATAACATTTAAAATATTTCAAAACATAGAAAATAAAGTGTTTAATTGGAAAAACTCAAAATACAGCCATATAGATATTTTATTTCTAAAATGAATGCAAGTATTCCAAAGGTTTTCAACTTTGGCAACTCTCCTCTTTTTACTTTTTGGATTAAAATGAAACTCTTTCTCTTTCTATTTTTTACTTTTTGAGACTACTAATACTTTTGTGCTATTACAAAATACTATATTAACTTTTCTATATATGTTCACATATGTGTTGTACAAGATTTAATAATTTTATTAACTTTGGAATCTTTCAGAATGAAATCTTTTTAGTAGTTGATCTTAATTTTCAGCTTGTCAATTGTTTTTATACATATATTATATATATTTAGGGGCATTGTATTTAGTAAGTGTGAGATCTGATTTTATGCAACTGGATAGTATTAGTTCTGTGCCAGAAGGGCCTTGGGAAATACAACTTAAAGTAAAATATGATATAATAAAATCCAAAATTGACACTGGTGCCGAAATGACAGTTATAGAAAGTGACCATTTAAAAAAGTTTTAAACTAAAGTTTTGAACTACATACTTCTAACTAACAATTTTTAATTCCTGATCATAAACCACTAAATTGCTTAGGGTATTTCCAAAATTCATTCCCACTTCTAGAACCATTAAATTTTGAACTTGAACATGTGAAAGAGATGAGTGTTATCAAAATAGTAGATCAACCTACTGATTGGAGTCATCCGATTGTAGTTACAAAAAAACCTAATGAACAGCTTTGTATTTGTATTGATTTGACAAAACTAAATAAAGATAAACAATGCGAACTCTATGAATAAAAAAGTGAAGATGATAAATTGGCCTTACTAGGAAATCGATGTATATATATGGCTAAATTAGATGCTAACTCAGGATATTGGCAATAACCAATGGATTTGGAAAGTCAGTTAAAGTGTACATTAACTACACCTTTTGGTCATTTTTGCCCAACAAGAGATCCATTTGGGTTAACATGAATTCCAGAAATCTTTAGTAAAAAAATGGATCACATAATTAATGGTATAAAAGAAGTTGTAAAAAGTATGGATGATTTTTTCATTTTTGGCAACACAGAAAGTGAGTATGATGAAAAACTATTTGCATTGCTAAGTAAATTTGTGGAACATGGAGTTATCCTTAATTTAGAAAAGTGTGTATTTAACCAAGGATAGGGAGTATAACCTTATTTTAGGAGAGGGAATAAAACCGCTGAGCAAAAAAGTTGAAGTGATACAAAATTACCAGAGACCAATAAATATTACAGATCTGTGTAGTTATTTAGGTATGGCTCAGCAGTTATGGTTAGGTATGGCTCAGCAGTTATGGCTAGGGTTCGCCAATAAAGTACTTACACTCATAGGGGGAGGGAGGTCTTTAAATAGGGTATGGAAGCGTATGGGGGATGGGGAGGGTCCAATTTAAAAGTATGTATGCACAAGTTAAAAAAAAAATTCCTTAGTAATGTTTGCTTTTCTAATTTATCAAAATTAACAAGCACTTGTTAATAACTAAATATTTTTAAATAACTAAAAACTTTTAAAAAAATAATAAAACCATACAGTATAATTGTAGCCCATAATTCTCCAGCTAATCAATAGAAAAAATAATTTTCTGAATAAAGTTCCTAATTTGCCAACATAAAAGGATGCATGGTATAAGGAAACAAAGGATATAGTGTCCCTCTATGCACACGCATGCCACCCCTCATACACTGGCCCAGAGTAAGACGGACTTGTATTTTAGGCAAACCCTTGCTTGACTCCGCAAAAAACAGGTTATAGCAGTGCTGTGACTAGGGCCAAAAAATCTTAAAAAATTTCCGCAAGGCTCTGGGATTCAGGCTTTATTTTCAATATAACTTATCTTGCATAAGACTCATTTTTTACGGACTTACTAAAAAGGGTGCCTAAAAAAAATGTCCATCTAAATTAAAGTTTCTTTATATTTGATTTGCAATTAAAGCAAATTTTCAAAAATAAAAAATAAATGAGTTTCAACATAACAAGTTGACTTGTGTGAGAATCTAACTCTGGTCTCAAAAATGAAATTGCTTACATTAACCTCTCAACCATACACACATAAAATTTAACTAGTTATTTAATTTTATCAAAATAAATATTTTTTACATGTCTTTAAAGTTAAAATCTGAAAACAAAACCAGGGGCTATGGGGTCTAATAAAGTATCTTAGAGAGATTAGGAGAAGAGGGATCGGTTAAAAGCATTTAATAAAGTAATGGATAGGGGATATGATGAACTTTAAAAAATGTATGTTTTAATTTAAAAAGCATTTCTTAATTTGTACAATTTTTTTTTTAATCAAAATTTTTTCAATCATAAAAAAATATATATATAAAAGGGGAGGGGACAGTTCAAAAGTGTACGTATTTTTAGGGGGTGGGGGGAGAAATGAAAAATACGCAAAGAAACAGGGAGAAGGAGGGTTTTTTTTTTAATTTCTGAAAATTTCAAATTTCTGAATTTTTGGTGTACATATTTTATGGACGACCCCTAATGCCACTGACCTGCTGGGATTATAGCCTATAACTTCTGCATTTCTCAATCTCTTACTCAAATAGTTAACTTTGTGACTCATTTTTCTGACAACTTTAATCATTTACCTTCACTCCTTGATTTATATTTGGTCTCTGATCCTAGCTTGGGTTCAGCTTCTCTTTTTACTACTTCAGGTGTTCTGACCATGCAATGATATCTTTAAATCTTTCATCATGTACTTACTTTTTGGACTCAACTGATCATCGGACTACTTATTACTAAACTAAAGCTGACTGGGATTCTTTTCATGATTTTCTTCCTGAAGGTTCTTTGGCTGATGACTTTTCTCTCACAGCTGAAAAATGCACCTTCTATGTAATCTCCTGAATTCAGGCAGGAATGAAAGCTTTTACTCCTTTTTGTTGGTTCCAAGTCAAGCCTCATTCTACTCCATGGTTTCCACCATCTAGTGGAATTGCTATACCTAATCGTAATCATTTTTTTCATCTTTTTTAAAAAAACAACTCTCTTGAGAACGAATGACTATTTATTATTATAAGAAATCAATGTAAAAAGGCTAAGTTCAATTATTCTCAGTTTACTAAATCTTGTATTTTATCTCAGAAGCTAGGCTCTAATGAGAATTTTTGGAAAATCTTCAACAGCGCCTTCAACAAAGGTAGGTTTAACACTCCATCTCTTATTTATGGGACTGATCTTACTACCTTTCCCAAAGATAAGGCAGAACTATTTGCAAAGAACTTTTCTTCTAATTCAACTCACAAATCTTATGGCCTTTCTCTTCCTTACAATCCAATTAAACAGGTTAACCCATTGTTAGACCTTCAAATCACTCCATCTTCTGTTGCTAAAGTCTTATCTCAATTAAACTCCTCTATGGTCCAAACAACATTTCTGTCATAGTCTTAAAAATTGTTCTCCAGAACTCTCTTCAATTCTCCCTAAACTATTTATTAAGTGCTTGACTAAGTCTTGTTTTCCAGCCTTCTGGAAAATGACATTTGTCGTTCCAATTTTCAAAAACTCAGGTGAACATTCTGACCCCTCCTAATATTGTCCAATCAGTCTTCTTTCTGTTATTATCAAGGTCTTTGAGCCTTTGATCAACAAATTTCTCACATTCTATTTTGAGTCAAATAACTTCAATCAGACAATCAATAAGATTTTTGATCCTCTAGTTCTATGACTGACTTTTGATCCTCTAGTTCTATGACTGCTATGACTGAAAGATTTTATTATCCATTAGATGGAGGCAGAGAAGCTAGGGCTATTGTTCTTGACATATCTAAGGCTTTTGACAAAGTTTTGCATGCTGGTCTTCTTCATAAGCTTGTTTCATATAGTGTTTCTGAGAAAGTTTTTGAGAATATCAAACCATTTCTTTCTAACTAGTTTATTCAAGTTATCCTCAAAAGCCAACACTCTTATTCATTTCCACTAACTTCTTGGGTACCTCAATGTTCTATCCTATGTCCTGTTTTGTTTCTTATCTACATTAATGATCTTCCTGACAACCTTACACATAAAGTAGCTCTTTTTGCCGATGACTCAACTTTATAATCCTGTCTCGACAAATTCTTCTTAATTGCTTAGAGCAGGCAGTCAATTTGGAATCTGATCTTACTTCTGTAACAGATTGGGGCTCACAGTGACTTGTAAATTTTGACTCCAACAAAACTCATTTATTTACTGCAAACAACTATCGCAGTACTGTTGATATTCTCATATTAATGAATGGCAACCCTCTCAATGAGTCCTTTTCTTTACGTCTTCTTGGATTATTGTTTACTTACTGACCTTTTATAGAAATCATATATACAATCAATTGTTAAATTAGCATCTGCTAAGGTAGCTTCTTTTTATCACGCTCACCATTTTCTCTCCTGATTCCATTATCTACCTCTACAAATCTCTTATTTGTCCCTAAATAGAATACTGTTGTCATATTTGGGTTAGATCTTCTAATAATGATATTCTTTCTCTTTTTGAAAAGGTCCAAAAACGCATTGTAAACATAGTTGGACTCGCTCTATCTGCTAAGCTTAAGCCTCTTTCCCATTGCCATAAAGTTGTATCTCTTTCTCCTTTTTTACAAATACCATCATGGCTGCTGCTCAAAGGAGCTATTATCTCTAGTTCCATCAATTAAAAATCGTTCTTGTTTGATTTGTCATTCAGTAAAGTCTCATTCTTTTACTGTATTTGACCCTGAACACTTTAAAAACTTTTATTCATCTAGTTTTTTCCTTCAACCCATCGAAACTCTCTACAATCTTCGTGTTTTCCTGAATCATGCAACCTTTAACTTTTTAAGTTTTTTTTAAACATTTTCTTGCTTTATAACTCTTTTTTTTTTTCCTTCTAGTAACTGCCAACTTAGTAGTGGTTGACTGCAGCCTGCAACTCCTTGCTGGGAGTGAATCAAAAAAAATATATATATATATATATGAAATATAACTCATTATTCGCTAAACTTGCTCAACCTTTGCGAGATCTTTTAAGTTTAAAATCATCATGGATATGGACTGAAAACCATACTAAAGCATTCAAGGAGATAAAGTATAGTTTAACAAACCCACCAATTTTGGTGCACTACAATGTGACAAAATCAGTAAAAGTGAGAAAAGATAGAAATTTATTAAATGGAATTAGTGTAGTTTTTTATCAGAACCACGAAGGAGTATACAAACCAGTTGATTGTGCATTTAGATTTTTGACAACAGAAAAAAACTATTATCCAATTGAAATGGAAATGCTAGCTGTAACATGGGGGTGCATATGTATATTAAAGTATTTGTATGGGTAAACAAGTTTTATATGGGAAACAGATCACAAAAGTGCAAAGGATGTATGAGGTATATCCCATCAAAGCCAAAAGAATTTCTATTAATTCATAATATTCCAAAACAACCATAGCAAATGGTTGGAACTAATTTGTTTCAGTGGGCTAATATAAATTATTTATTGTTGATTAATTTTACTTGTGGTGGGAAGTTTTTCACTTTCAAATATTAACTTAGTAAATACAAAAAACAAAACTAAAGTAATACAAGCACGCAAAGAATCATTTTCACAAGAATTGAGTGCGGAGATGGTGTTAGGAGAGATGATTATGCATTGTTAGGAGAAATGTTGATATTCCTATAGAAAAATTCAAGTTAATAGCAAAAGCAGAAAATATACCAGATAAGATTAACAAAAAACAAACTCAAATATCAAGTTGTGGTCAAAAAATGTAAAAATGTAAAAAAGTGTAAAAAACCATTCACCTAAGAGGATCTATAAACTAACTTGACTTCATATTAACAATTATGTTTGCTTTGTTTTATGCAGTATGTGTATAATATTTATAAACATGTATCGCAGCTTGATCGAATGTGCCAACCTTTTAGAGAATATATATTATGAACACAACATACCCTTTAAGAACTAACCAGAACCCCTCAATAGGTTGTAATTCTGGAATACAAGCTAGATTATCAACTTATGTTACATAGACATTTTTTCTCACCCAAGTAATTGGTCACACTTTAGGTATAGTATGAAGAGGCTAGATCAGGCCATAATACATATGTACCATCACTACAATGTTCATTAAAAATAAGGAATTAAGGATGCAATCATCTGATAATATAGAAAGGATGCAATTGTCTAACAATGTAGAAATGATGACAAAATCCATAGTCATCCATAGTCAACATTATTGTCTGATGATTGCAAATTTGTTTAAGCTCCAGGCTGGTTTAAAGTTCTATTCCTAGTGCAAAATTTTTTGTCACTAGGATTATCATCAGTGGCAACTTTACCTTATCTAGCAACTACAGACTTCTAATTACTAACAATTACAATTAATTAAAAACATTTTATAAATTTATTTTAATTTTAACCTTTGTTTTTAATGAATTCGATCCAATATTAATATCTTTTTCATTTGAAGGCTTCTCCTCTCTTCTGTTTTGAGGAAATAGATTAGCGGCATTGGCTTCTTTATTAATAATTGGAGTTTTACTACATAGATCTTCATTTTCAACAGCGTTGGAATTTAAAACAATGCTATTAGAAACTGTATCTTCACCCTTATTTTCTAAAGAAGACTTCTAAAAAAATGTGTAATAGTAAAAAAATCTAAACTGTGTTCAGAAGATCATAGAGTATTAATAAGAAAAGTTGTTAAATAGGAAAAGAATCTAGATATATTTATAGATTTATACAGTTCTGTTTCTTTTTACTTTATATTTATAGATTTATACAGTTCTGTTTTTTCTCTCTACTTTGTTAAAAGAAAAAATATAACTGTTTAAATCTAAGCCATCATTTTGAAACCAGAGTCCCTAATAACACCTAAGTACTGAATTAAAAGAAATTTAAAGAAGATTATGTAGTTTAATTAAGATTATGTAAGACATTAAATATTCCGAACATAAGATTGTTTTAAAATGTTTTTTTTTAGGCTGTATGTATTATTATGTATTAACCTTAATAAAATTTTAATATGGCAAAAGTATATTAATATATTTATATAAAAGATATCAATATAAACTTTAATAATTTTATATGAATATGAGCCATTTTTAACTCAGTTAAGCAATAAAACTTCAAAGACATTACAAAAATGATGCCATCAACTAATTTTATATATATATATATATATATATATATATATATATATATATATATATATATATATATATATATATATATATATATATATATATATATATATATATATATGCATATATATATATATATATATATATTTTAAAATAAAAAATTTTTCAATTTTGAATTCTACATCCAACAAATTTAAATAAAACTTGAGTAAGAATACAGATAGAGTGGTAAAAATCAATTATGAACAAACAAAAGAATCATATAAAAGTGAAACTTTTAACTATAGGCCAGTAAAATCAGGTTTTGACCCAGAAAAAATTAGGAACAAGCTGAAAATTACTGTAAATGTTCTGTATGCACTTGATTCATATTAGAAAAATCAGCCAAAATCGGAGTGAAGCTTTATCTGAAATCCAAGATGGCGTCCAAGATGGCATTTAAAAAATAATTTGTAACATCTGAGTTTGTAGATCACTTGTATAAACATAATTCTAGTGTCTAGTATTTTGTTAATGAGGTTTAGAAAATAATTTCTGACCTTTTAAGTTTTATGAAAAACAAAATGGTCATCAAAATGCAAGGTGGTGGCTTAAAATGGCGTCAAAATTGAAATGTTCAATATCTCAGCTTGTGATCAAATTTTTGCATCTAGTATTATGTTTTTCAGGTCAAGCAATTCATTTTTCACAATTTTATTTTTGTAAAAAAACAAAATGGCAGTCAATATACAAGATAGTTGCCCAAACAGCACATAAACTAAAATATGAAAATTTGTATACCACTTTTAAAAACAATGTGTCTTGCAATTTATCATTGAGATAACAAAGATGTAGCATGTTGAATATAATTTTTTAATAACTGTTTTATACATATCAGAATACAAAGTAATTTTTCATAGTAAAACCACGGGTATACTAGTCTTTAAAAAATTTGCTTGGAAGAAAATGCTATTGTAGATACAAATATTAAAAAAAAGAAATTGTAAACTTTAAACTATATCACATTGTACTATATAGTATATTGAACAATAGCTTAACTACACGTATGTCCAAATGTTATTAAGTTATCATAATTATATTATCTCAAACCTTAATATATTTGATTGTAAATTGTTAATATTGGCTCTTCATTTAAACTATTGACATCTCCATTTGCGTCATTGTCGTAATCTTTATCTTCATCAGATGTGTCAGCATCATTTGCATATGCAGGATTTGAGCAATCCACTCCATGACCTACACATAGATGAACATTTCAAACCACCTAAATACAATTATAATAACTATTAAAATAATTAAATTTCAATCATTGCAAATCAACTACTACAGGAATGTATTATTTTAGCAGAAAGTTATGTGTTATTTTAATTAGTATTTTCATTATATTATTTGTAAGACTACACTTACCTTTTTTTTACATTTACAATTCCTATACATTCAGTTTTGCAGTTACAGCTCACAAGATGCAACAATTTTCTGGAGCTGGCGGTTAAAGTTTTGATGTTTGTAAGAAATTTGATCCTACCATTTTCCAAGCCCATTCCAGTAGATCGAAGTTATGATCATGCCATTGTTGTACTTGATTGACATGGAATGAATGTTGCTTTGCTCCAGAAATTGTTGGTAATTTGGAGGTAATACAGCATACAGCTATTGTAAAAATTAGAGGTAATACAGCTAAATCGAATATTTTGTGAACTGGTTTTGATGCTACTCTGCAAAGATACTCATAACAAAATGTATTAAGCAAAATTGACTTGGTTTTTAATCCATATAATGCTAAGAAAAATTATTCTCTGGCATGAGCAATTTCATCGTGTTTGGCTTCTGGCGTGTTAAATACATCAATGACTTCGCATAAATCAACATTGTTTTGTAACAATTTGAAGACTTTCTGTTTGCCTTGATGGTAAAGAAATGAAGTTGAACCACATCTAGACATTGCTAGTAAAAACAATAAACTTTTAAAGCAGTTGCCAAGACCTTCTCTCAGCTTGTTCGCACTGTAAACTTTGTCTTGCGTAGTATCTTTACCAGGCTTCATCATGAAAATATTAGTAGTTGAATCTGTTAGAGAAAAATAATACTAGCAGATCTATATTTTCTCCAATAATTACAAAAGGTTCGTTGAACCTATGTCTTAACAAATTAGTCGCTGTATTGATAATAAGTGTATCTGCATCTCATGTGCCTGTTTAACATGAATTCCAGAATCTGCAAGGTGCACTGATAAAGCTTCAATGAATCCTTAAATCTCATCCAATCAGTTCCTTAAATCTCATCCAATCTGCTTCCAGATATATTTGGCTAATAGCTCCCATGAAGGACATTAATAAATTGAATCCCTAACTCAAACAACAATTGAAGATAGATCACTATCAATACTGGAAGTAGCTACTAATTTGCATGCTTTGGCAAATTAAGGCTGATTGAAAGCTTTCTTGCTAATTCATCTTTAGCCATCAAGGGCATTGTTAATTAAAGGTATTCATAAGACATGAGACAATTTGTACAGATGACTTTCAACCATGGATAGTGCAATATAGCTGTTCCAACCAGGTCTTCAAGTGAATTTGAGCCATGCACCCACAAAAGGTCAAGTCACTATGGTGCATCTAGGAACAACATAGTTTATGTAACTTTTTGGATTCAAAGTGTAAGTACACATACATAGTCCACCCAATTTCAATGTTAGACAGAAATGCTTTGATCTTGTTGTATTCTTCTTACTCTTTTTGTCCTTACTAGCCATGCTTTCAACAAAGATTTCTAGCAGTTTCTGCAATCTAACATCGCTCATAACTGAAGCAGTTTCAACAATTCAACATCGCGCATCATCCCTGTTGGCGCATCTTAGTTAATACCAAATATCTGATAAAATGTTATGGCTCGTATGAAGGAAGCAAAAAGTATTTTTTTTTGCCTGGAATGGTCGTAATTAGCAATATATCTCCAAAACGTGCTTGAAATTTAATTTTCACAGGGAATTTACAGAACTTGTCATTTAATTCAAAAATTGAATACTGGCATTCTTTGTTATCAAAGAGATTATTACATAATTTTAAATAAAATGTCAAATTTTGTTCTAAATTAAGTGGACGCCTAGGCTTTCTTTTAAAAACTTTCTCTTGTTTCAAAAACTGTACCTGACAGGCTCTATGATATTGCCCTTCTGTTGCAATCAAGTCTATTACACTATCAACTTGTGTTTGAACCGCCTCACCCCATTCATTATTCTGCATTTGAGCTAACTCTAACACCGAATTTTTTATGACCATAGTTGATACGATGAAAATTATTTGTCTCTTACCATATGTTTTCTTACTTTCGTCTTTTAAATTTGCAGATTTCCCATTTTTTAATTTGAAATTAAACCTTTCTAAGGTAGAGCCAAGTCTTTGAACATTTTCCAATAAAGCACTTGTCTCCAAAATGGTTATTTGTTGAATGCTCTTAGCATTTGTATAGTCTTTGTATGGTAATAAATGTGAACACGGATTGACTTCTTTTACTCGCAACTTATCAGGTTTTCAAAAAATACAAACAATAAATTTATAGTCAGACATTATTTTATTTGTATATTCATTTGTATATTCATAAATGGTAAACAAAGGCAAAATTAAGGTGGCGAATTGAAGACCTAATATTATAATCATGTTTGCAGGGTTCCAACAGGGTTATTGGTAAAAAATAGGACATTTTGAAAAAGAAAAAAAAAACTGTTAAGGCCTTAAAAACATGATTTTACTTAGAAAAAAAAGCTATTTTGTGATACAATTTAAAATACATTAAAAAAAAAGATAAATAAACAATTAAAAACGCTCTATAAACAGTAAAATATATATATAAGTGTCCATAAGTTATGTCATGAAACTTTTAACAGTTTTTTTTTCCTATTTCCATATCCAATTTTGCACTTAGTTTTCTTATAAGTTTCTGTCCCAATTATAGTTTTTTCAAATTGTCAAACTGCGCCATTACCCTAACTAATACGTCTTGAATGCTTATCAAACGAGTAGAGACATGTCTCAACATCCGTTGACCTTGGAGCTTAGCGAATGATTCCACAGCAAAATATTCTTCAATTATTTTTTGCAAAAAATTAAAAAAAAACTGTGCAAATCAATTGCTAATTGATCCAAATCAATATCCTCAGAAATTAACAATTTCAAACCTTCAAAAAAAAGAATTGGACATTTTTAAATTGACCAAGAAGGTCTTCTGCAGTACACCTTCCTACAAACAATGTCTCAAGTACGATGTTGTTATTTGCTGAAAGTGATTAGAATGGTACATGGCATAAGTATCATTATTTTTTTGTCTCTGATGTAAAAAAAAAAAAAAAAAATAGATGTTAAAACTATCTTAAGTAATAGCTGATATTATACTTAAAACAAAATTAGTAAATTTTTATCTTCATTACCTCCTAAATCCATAAAATTTATCATTTTATAAACATCATGAGACTTTTAAAAAAAAAAGCTATTCCCAGCAAACATTTAGACTAAAAAAGACGTCTTAAATATGTCTTAATATAAAGAAGACGTCTTTTTTAGTCTAAATGTTTGCTGGGTTGACTTGAAAAAAGAAAAAAAAACAGGAAAACAGATCAAAATGGAAAAAACAGAAAAAAAAACAGGAAAACAGGCTCTGTAGGAACCCTGTGTTTGTGAAAAAGTATATAAGACATACATACCTCTTTGAACAAGTACTACTTCAGCATAAAAATTTACAGCACAATAAGCATAACTTGTCTGCTACAACCATTATGATAATATTAATCAAATTTATTTTTAGTGACTAATCAAATTTATTTTTAGTGAAAATTTTTAGGGTCAACTAAATTCAATTATTATTCTTATAAAAATTGGCAACAAATTGTATATCTCATCTAAATAACCGCTAGAGAGTAATTAGCGGTTTATGTTATAATAATGACTTTTTATATGTGCATTTGAAACCTTAAAGAAATTAGATTTTTTTTTTTTTTTTTTTTGTTTTTTGTTATTCACCTCCTCAAGGCCGAGAAGGCTACTACAGACGAGGAGGTTACTTAATAGTAATTATAACCCTCTCTCAACTCTATAACTCCAAAATACAAACCTTGACAAACAAGGCCGCTGCGCCTTGAGAAATAATAGCTTATAAGTGTGCTGTGAACCGCGCTGTTTAAGCCACAAGCGAATTGGCGTTACAATATAGTTTACGTTGTAATTAGTTTATTAGATTCATTTAGGAGAAGCATAATGAGTTAAACAAATAGTAATTTCTTTAGTTTCACAGGAAAACAGGAATAAATTCTGCATGATTGTAACTAATATGATTATTTATAAATAAACTTATTTTAGATTTCAGTTTAGAAAAGTAGAATCCATCTGAGAACAAACTCCACTCATTAAACAATTAAGAACTGTTACATTAAATCTTCAACATTAATTTAGAAATATAAAATAAATACAATAAACTATTTCTTATTTCGAATGGATATGAGCTCACAAGATTGTAAGTGTTTTAAAAAGCAGCCAATTTCTATTTTTCATATCTTTTTTAACCGCCATCTTTTAGCTGTTTAGCTCAAAAATAAAAAAAAGTTGAAAATGAATTCCTTGACCTCAAAAACATAATACTAGATGCAAGAACTATATTTCTACATCATCTACAAGCTGATATATTATAAATATCATTTTGGACGCCATTTTGAATTTCAAACGAGGCTCCAGTCCGACTTTGGCCAATTTTATCCAATATTAATGAGGAGTGTATGCTTAACATTTCTAGCAATTTTCAGCTTGCTCCAAATTTTTTCTGGTTAACATGATATTTTTTGCTAATTAGACTGAGCTACTAAGCTTCTTTAAACAAATTATTTTTTTAGAACTTAACTTATTAATTAAAAGGCTTTTAAGGTATTTAAATAAGATTCTATTACTGATTTTATGATTTTTTATTCTGAACATAAACTTTAAAAAAGAATAACTATGAAGGAGCTGAAACATGTTTTAAAAATAAATAGCTTTAACATAAATAAAATGTCATCTTATTAAAAATTTTCACATTTTGTGCTACAAAGAAACATACAAAACCTTGTTAAAATAAAAATTTAACATCTAAAACATGTCTAAAAATATTTCTTTATGCCTCAAAATGATCACAATGCTTGTGTGCCATTGTAAAATAAGTACAATTTATTTAAAATATTGCTGATTCAAATAATTAAATCTGTTTTGTTATAAAAAAATTAAAATAATTTGATTACTATCAAAAACCTCATAAGACATAAATGAAAACAAAAACAACAAAAAGAACAGTATTACCTCATTGCATTCAGATGGAAGGTGAACAGGATTATTTGGAAGAATAGAAAAACCTATATTTATATATATATATATATATATATATATATATATATATATATATATATATATATATATATATATATATATATATATATATGTATATATATATATATATATATATATATATATATATATATATATATATACATATATATATATACCCATATTGTGTAGTCGAAAGAGCGTTTTAATGTAAAAAAAGTCTCTTACGACTACAATTTTAATTACCTCGTCTCTTAAGCTGTTTTTGATTGTCATCGAAATGTCAAAGCAATTAATTTATGCGGAAGTACATTAAATTTAATTGTTTTTTAAAAAATTTTTAAAAAACCGCAATTATAACGACTAGAAAGTTTTTTTTAATTAGTGGTGTTTTTGTTATTGATTTAATAAAAAACATTTTTAAAACATGCGTAAATGTTGCTACATCGACTATCTTATAGCCTGACTCACAACGGAGTGCTGCTACATCGACTGACAAATAGCCTGACTCGCAACGGAGTGCTGCTACATCGACTGACAAATAGCCTGACTCGCAACGGAGTGCTGCTACATCGACTGACAAATAGCCTGACTTGCAAGGGAATGCTGCTACATCGACTGACAAATAGCCTGACTCGCAAGGGAGTGCTGCTACAACGACTGACAAATAGCCTGACTCGCAAGAGAGTGCTGCTACATCGACTGAGGGTTTGGTTTGGCCAGGCAGTCTATCAATTAAAAAAAAAAAATTAATTTTTAAAACTTTTTCTGGTCTGGTTTATTAACGCGCTCTTTAAAACTACAGTTTATGGGAAACTTTTTTTGATGCCATGCAAGAGACATGCAAGAGTATATATATATACATATATATATATATATATATATATATATATATATATATATATATATATATATATATATATATATATATATATATATATATATATATATATATATATATATATATATATATATATAGAAAAATTAAAGAAACCTGATGTTTGTTTTTCTGCCTGTTTTTTAACAAATGTGTGCACATTTGTCGATTTGCTGCTCGCTGTATCCTATTAACTTAATTAAATTTAAAATCTGTACCAAAAAATTTTATTAAATTTCATGGCACTTTTAAACAGCCAAATTTACTTATGTTTTTAAACATTGTGCTGTGTTAAAAATCGGAGGTTGAGGGAGGGAGGGGGGATCAGATGCCTACAGACCTCTTCCCCTCACTATGGATCCGCCCTTGTATTAGCCTATTTATTCATAGGAGGGAATGATAAATATTGATAGAGCTGTTATCAATTTTTTTTTTAACTTTTAAATAAGTTTACATTAAGTAATGTTTCATTTTTTTTTTTGGTTTTTCTAAGCATGGGCATTTGATTTTTGTGTCTGGTAAATCCATCCATCACCGTTAACATCTGTTACATAAAAATATTTTGATGGGCGTTATTAACGGAAAATTTCCGTTTAACTTTTTATTGGACCGATATTTTTTAATTAATTTTTGTTGATTCCGTTATTTTCTGTTAATTTCACTAATTTTATATTTAAAAAATTTTTTAAGTTGATTTAAAAAAAGTTTCATTTAATCAACGTTCAGTTGAATGAAAGACAAGGAGCATAAAAAATTTTAAAATATACAGTTCAATTATAGAACTAAAGGTTTTGAAATTTTAAGCAAAAATTTGATTTAAGTGAAAATTTTATAAAATTTTTTTTAAAAGAAAATTTTATAAATATATTTAAATTTAAAAAAATATTATTTTAGAGCTTCAATAAAAAATTTAAAATTTTTTATTTTATTTTATTTTAAAATTGTTCATTTGTTAAACATATAACTTGAGTTTAAAATACATAATCAAAAATTTTAATAAGTTTTTTTATTTAAAAAAAAAAAAAGTGTTTCTAGCTGATAAATTTCAGTTAGTTGACTTTTTTAAATTCATTTTATTTTCCAAATATAATTTTTTTATTATAAGAAAAGCATTTTATCTGTATTGTAAAGGTTTAATGATATATTTTTTTTATATTTGTTTTTTTATTGTATGTAAAATGTTAAAAACATGTTCTGTTATTTGGGATTATTTTGAAAAAGAACCAACTAATAAAGATGGAGAAGTAGTTGCCAACACACAACACAAAAAGTGCCAAAAAATTTACAAACTTAGTATGAGATACCACTTGAAAATAACTCTTGTATAAATCATCTTTGTATAAATTATTAGTTAATAAAGAATTAAAAATTCAGTTGATCAAAAGATGGAGAGGAAAATAATTTTACAGAGACACAAGGTAACTTATAATAAAAATTTTTTCACTGATTTAATTTTAACCAAATAGTTTAATTGAAAATTTGTTTTTTATTACACAAACGTTTTAACCTGGTGGAAAGACAACTCAAAGGTTCTTCCCAGCTTGGCTAAAATTTCCAGATTCATATTTTGCTTTCCTGCATCAAATTCCTGCATCAAGGATTTTCAGTTCATTAGGAAATATTGCAACTTGTAGCAGGGAAAACCTTTGCACTGACACAATAAGACAATTGATGTTTTGCCGTGACAACTTTGAGAATATTAAAGTGAAAAGCTGGAAACTAAAAGATTCTGTGAATGAAAAAGAAGAAGAGTGATAGCTTTTATTTTTTTACTATGGACAACTATATCTATGTATGTTAATATTGATTTGCAACTATTTTGATTTTAAATATTACTTTGTTTACATTTAAAAAAATCTGTTTTGTTGTATCTTTTAACTAACAGCCGTTAACAGTTTAACGTTCATTAAAATAAGTTAATAGTTGTTAACGGAAAAATACTGTTAATAAATTTTAGCATAACAGATTTTAGTGAAGTTTTGTTTATATTTTTTAACGCAACAGAAATTACTAGTTTTTAACGGACCGCCTAACACCCATGCTTAGGTTTTTCTACAATTTATTTTGTTATTCTTTGAAAAAAAAAATTTTTCGTTTAATTTTTGTTAATTTAGTTTATAATTTTTTTTTTAGATTTTATTCTTTTTTATGTTTATGGATCATTTATTATAATTTAAGTTTGCTTTGTTTTTTTAGTGTCTTTTTTAAAAGCGCTAATTATCAAAACAAATATACATAAACATATATATATATATATATATATATATATATATATATATATATATATATATATATATATATATATATATATATATATATATATATATATATATATATATATATATAAATTAGTAGAAAATCACTTTGAAAGAGATAAGATTCAACAGATAAAAAGTTACTTCGAAGACCATGAAGATTAGTGAATGATAGAATTAGAGAATTTATTGATGAGAATAGTTTTTAGTGTTTTAAAGTTTTAGATACTTTGGTCATTCTTTGAATTGATTAAAGAACTTGACTTTGAAAGCACAGATAGTACTCAGTACACTATATAATAGTCCAAGCAACTGAAATTTTAAAAAAATGTCTGTCAGTAGTTCGGCAGGACGACCATACAGTTTGTTACTTATAAGAGTGCATTTATTAATAAAACTATATTTTAACTAAAGTAGAAAAGCATCTAGAAAAATAGAGTGGATATTCAAATAATATTCAAAACTTTTAAGGAACTTAAACAACTTTTAAAATCAACTAATAAAAATTTTTTATTGGTTGATTTTAAAATTAAGATGCGTTTTTACAGACTATCAGTAACATTTATCATAATCGCAAACATTTTATAAAGTACATTTTTATAAAGTTGTTTAAGTATTTGTAAAAGTTCCTAATGTTTTTCATATTTGAATATTCACATTATATTTCCTAGATGCATATCTAATTTTATTAAAGTTTGGAATAACAAATGTTGTTAGAACAAAGAATAAACTTTAGAAAGTGCTTCTAAAAGTAATAACACTATTATAGTTTTATTACTTTTATAATGCAGTTAGTGACTAGAGTGTTGTTACTTTTGTAGTCGTAAGTTTTTTGTTTTGTTTTTATAGCTTTTTCCCTAACAAACTTATAAAAATTTGGTCCTAAAAACAAAAACCTCGTATTCCATACAAGGCCGGACTTAAGATTTATAGAGATAGAGAATAGAATCCAAAGAAAGAAAGTGTCTAGCTCGATAAAGAGATGTAACTTTAGCAGATGCTAATTTTGCAACAGATTTAATATATGGTTTCCAAAAAAGATTGGAAGTAGGAGTTAATCCTAGAAGATGAAGGGTAGATGACTCATCGAGTACATAACCGTTCATAAATGTAGGAAGGTCAAAATTATTGAGATAACGATTGGTTGAAAAAAATTAAATTTTATATGAATTAAAGTTCACCAGCTACTGTGAGCCCCATGCTGTTGCAGAAATGAAGTCTTTTTCAAGCTCAAATGCCCCCTCCTAGCAATCAGAGAGTGTTGGCTTCTTATCATGACAAGAATAAATGGTAGTATCATCAGCAAACAATGCCATGGTAGATGTGAGAATATCTGGAAGATCGTTAATGTAAATTCAAACGAGTATAGGGCAAGGATTAAACCTTCAGGAACCCCTTAGGTGATAGAACAAGAAGAAGAATTCTGTCCATCAAGGACAACTTTTATACTACGATTGGAAAGAAAGGATTCAATAATCTTAAAGATGTTTCCAGAGACATCGTAAGAAGAAAGCTTATTGAGAAAACCAGCATGCCAAACTTTGGCAAACGCTTTAGAAATGTCAAGTGCAATGGCCTTAACTTCTTCACCTTTATCTAACGCACGATAAAACCTATCGATTATTACTGTTAGCAAATCAGCTGTAGAACAAGATCAAAACCCACATTGATGATCAGAAAGTAAGTTATTAGATTCAAGATGAGAGAAGTGTTTGTTAATTAAAGATTCAAAAACCTTGCTTCTAAACAAGGTTTTTGAATCTTTAATTAACAAACACTTATCTGATAAGCACTTGTTGAATAGTTTTAAAAGGATAGAAGACAGCTCAGGAGAACACTTCTGCAAGACTATTACAGGGATGCTGCCCCAGCCACAAGCTGCAGAAGAGTCTAAGCAGGAAATGAGTTTAGATACAGAACTACATTTGTCAACAGAAAGACGAAAGAAATCTACCCAAGGGCCATCACTAAGAAAATCACGGAAAATGTCCCAGTCAGCTTTAAGGTAGTTGTAAGATTTACAATTATAGGGGGATTCTGATGATAAAGTAGAATGAGATAATAGTTTTATAGAGATCAAACTGTGATCAGAAACTGAGCACTGACTAGGATCAGAAATAAGACATAAGTCGAAAAGAGAAGGTAAATGATTTGAGTTGTCTGGAAAGCGAGTTGGAAAGTTGACTATTTGAGTTAGGAATTGAGGAAGGCTAAAGTTGTGGGCTTTAATACCTGGCGAGTCACTGAAACTAGAGCCAACTCATTCAGTGTGATAAACATTAAAGTCATCGACAACAACAATATTGGCTGATAGATAAAGAGAGAAGGCCTTGGTCAATATCATCAGAAATAACATCAAGAAAAGTGCAGTCTTGAGGTGAAGGGAGTGATATAGATCAAAGAGAAAAGCGATAGTGTGAAGTGGTGCTAAATGAAAGCACATAAAAGAGTAGTCTGTGGATTCAAATCTAGTTTTCCAACAAATGGGTGAATTCTTACGAATAAATATGCCCAGGCCAAGCAAGTGACTATTGGAGTCTTTACGAATTATAGGAAGATAACTATCAACACTAAGATCACAAGATGAGACAGCGGAACTCAAATTAGTCTTACAAAGAGCAAGTAGGTCTGGTGAACTTTGCGAGAGATAAGACTCCACAGAAGAAAAGTTACTTCAAAGACCACGAATATTAGTGAATGATAGGTTTAGCAAAATTGGTGATAAAATTAGTTTTTTTGCATTTTATAGTTTTTGTTACTTTATTCATTTTTTAATTTGTTAAAGAACTTGACTCAAAGCATAGATAGTAGTTAGTATACTGCTTAATAGCCCAAGCAATTGCCTCATTACTATTAAAAAATCCTACGCCATAACAAAGGGCTCCAATGTGGCCTTGGCAATGCACACAAAAAGTATAAAAAGGGACACCATCTATGCGCAACATGGCACTGTTAATACTTTGAGGTTTTAGAGGTTGATGGAATCAGCCTCTGTGAGCTACCACAGAGTTCGGGAAACCTGACTACCAACCGGCCTCAGAACCGTAAAACTGAGTTTTAGAATTGTACCTTCATAGGGAGATAATAGAATGAGTTGCCTAATCATAAAAACAGACACAAGCAAAACCTATGCATCAAATCAAGAAGATCTAGCATTCAACATCCTAAACTGGAAACAATGTATTAAAAATACATCTGCGCCAGCCTAATTAATGAAGAAGGGATGCGAGGCTGGTCAACAGATAGAATCTGTTTACCCTTGTAGTCTTTGCCTAAGAGACCTTTTAAAAGACAGCATCCAGATGCATTTAACATCTGCCCAAGATGAGTATTTTTATTGAGACAATATCTCTAGCCTTTACTCAACTAAGACTCCCAAGGCAAAGAGTATTTTATGTCGGAGTTGGCATTTCCTAACCTTTGCCTAAAAAAGCGTATCCTACAAGGCAGCAGGACATAAAGCAGATTGTACTGGGTTACATTTTACCAGTAACAGGATAACTTGACCTCACATTAAGTTATAGTAAACATTTATATAACAGGATAACCTGACCCGTTATTAAGTCATAATAAACAGTTACAGTAAACATTAGGAAAAAAAGTAAAAAAAAGTAAATATAAAAGATTTGAAGAAGTTTAAAAACTTAAAAAAGACTATTTAAATTGATAGATGGTCTGCCCAAACCAAAGCCCTCAGTTGATGTATGCACATTTTCTTCATATTTTTGCTATTAAATTCAATTCATATTTGCACACTAGTGTGCTAATACCTGAGTAAATCAGTTGATAAAAAAAAAATGAAAATAAATAACTTTAATAACATAAGCAGTAAAAAACAAGTTTTTGAATTTAAAAAACAAAAAGCATGGCAAGTAGCAGAAATATAAAGTTTGCTACAAGTTTAAATTTAGAAAATCACAGCTTTTATTTGGGTTCGAAATGGAAATCTGTTATTAGTTAGTGAGTAGGTGATAAATATTTAGTAATTAGCTAATAAAGAGGAAAATAATTAAACTGTTAATTAAATAATTGAATTTACATAAGCTTCTATTTAAAAAAAATTATTTCAAATTTTTAAACCTCCTTCAGCATTCTATATAAAACATTTGTCTTTTTTTTTAAAAAAAAGCCTAATGTTTACTATAACTGAAATAGCCCGCTGCCAGGGGCTTCATTACATCATTATTCTTTGTTTATTTCTAACCTTTAAAAATTTAAAGGTTAAAAAATGAAATAAAATGTTGCATGAATAAATAATTAAATTAATTAATTTTTGCATTAGATTAAAATAAGATTATTATAATAAAAATATAATTATAATATTATAATTAAAATAATAAAATTAGATAAAATTAAATTAGATTAAAAATAAAAATAATTAATATTTGCATTATAAGATAGAAATTCTATTAGTGAATATTATTAGTTAATTAGGTTTTCAGCTCACATTGTAATTTAGAATTTTTTTTTTGTGACTTTAGATATAAATTCAATCTTTTATATAATAGTTCTTTCATATAATAGTTCTTTTGGTTTTGAGTAAGAAATAATTACAAGTTTTTTGTTTAGATAAAGGTATCCAAATTTTAGAACTGTTCAAATAACGGGATATAGATTTTAAAATGCACCAGGGGTTTTGTTATATTTACTTTTAAATCCCAAACATAGCTGAAGTTGCTTTTTGGTATGTATTGTTTTTAAAAGAAGATTTGTGGTTATTGTACCTTGTTTTCCACCTGCTTTCTGTTAGTGTAAACTTTTTTAGACTAATTATTAGCAGTAATAACACAGTTATATATGATGTGTTTATAAATCTAAATTTTCTGTTGATGGAGCAATCTATCTTGTTTCTACGGTTGGATTTTTTAAAATATCTTTAACCATTGGAGGAAGAATTTTGTTGCTGTGGTTTTTAATGAGTTTTTTAATATTGTAATTTGATTGAGAATTTTGTAGAGGGTATGTGTTTTGGTGAAGACTTTATCAATAAGTTTTAGGAAACATTTTCTACATTTGTAAAGACACCTTTATTAAATGAAGGATAAAAATTTTGCAAATAGTTAAATAGTTACTAAAAACAGCAAACATAAGCCGTTACTATAGGTTTTATATATATATATATATATATATATATATATATATATATATATATACAAATAGTATTGCGTACTACGGTAAGCAATCTGACGTCATACTGAAATAGGCTGCTGCTGGGGGCTTCAGTACATATATCGATTGACAAATAGTCTGACTCGCAGTGGAGTGCTGCTACATCCACTGAGGGTTTGGGATAGGGCAGCAATCGTTTCATTCATCATTCTTCTTTTTTTTTTCTTCTTTTTCTAAAAAAGCTGTATGGGTTAAGGTAAGCAAAAAAGTGAGCAAATACTTATAAAAATACGCTTAAGTGTATATATATATATATATATATATATATATATATATATATATATATATATATATATATATATATATATATATATATATATATATATATATATATATATATATATATATATATATATATATATATATATATACAGGCTTGTAGGAATAAAAAAATATTTTTTTTGGGGGGGTGGGCACTACTACTTTGAAAATATTTTAAGGGTGTACATACATTGACTAATATAGCTTTGGGTGCAGTTGAGCATACATTTATAGATTGTCTTAAACGCATCAGAGTGTACACACATCAATTAAGGGTTTCGATTTGATAAGTAATCTTTTAATTAAAAGGAAGAATAAAAAAAAAATTCTTATACTAAGGTCTATCATTTTAGCGTTTGATTTAAAGCAACATAATACGGAAAAAATTTTTGATTACCATGCAAGAATGTGACAAAACGTAAAGGAAAATTACCAACGTCATTACCTTCAATTAATAGACTTCCACATTTGGAACAATAATCTCCATTCTTTGATTTATTACAGGATTTGCAATACTTTAGGTTAGAAGATTTATTTCCGCGTTTATCAGGTTTAACCTTTTGGCGATTTTTTTTTGGCTTTGATTTGTATTTATTTTTCTTATATTTACTCATTCCTATTTACAGTAGTGTGAGAAAAATACCTTCAGTTTCGTCGCTTTAAGCGATTAGAAGTTTTCACGATCACCTATCACTAGCTTATAAACATGTGTTGAGCCAGCCGAACAAATGTAAAAAGTATTTTGCAAGGATTGGCTAATTGGTAGAATTCTGAGAAATTTATTGCTAAAACAATGGAATATCTAAGATGGAGAGTTATTGTTAATCGAGATTAAGAACAAATATTAAGTCGTTGGCAACTTAAGGGTGGTTTCCATATACGAAAAATGGTCGTGCGACTGTCGCGAGACAGTCGGGGCGACCATATGGAAACAAAAGTCGTGCGACAAGTTTTGTCTTGCAAGACTGTTTTATAGTCGTGCCATAGGTGTCGCAGAGATAGAATAAATCTCTAAGACAATTGTCGCACGACCCTACAATGTGATTGGTTGAATATTAAAAAACGAACTATTAATTAAAACAAAAAAGAATTCACAGCGAAATAAAATGGAAAATAATCAGGAAAGATTTTAGTAAAGAGAGTTTCATGCAGGAGTAAAGAAATATCCTGTACTGTATGACAAATTCGATACAGAATTTAAGAACAACATTTCTAAAAAAAATGTTTGGGCAGCAATAAGAGTTTCGTTTGGTTTAACCAAGGACGTAAAATAAGATTTTATTTTATTTATCTTATTTTATTTTATTTATTTTATTTATCTTATTTTACGTCCTTGGTTTAACCATAGTCAATAGAAGTTATACCGTGGTCGGGAAATCTCGCGTAATTGAAGCTGATTTTTAAGCGAAATTAACACACCAAAATTAAAACCAGTTTTAATCGTGGTTATTTAAACTAGTGACGCGTTTTTCCGTTCACACTACTTTTTAAATCCTTGTTTCAAATAAATGATATAATATATACATACATATATATATATATGTGTATATATATATATATATATATATATATATATATATATATATATATATATATATATATATATATATATATATATATATATATATATATATATATATATATATATATATATATATATATATATGTAAATGTGTGTGTATATATATATGATATAATATATACATATATATATACATATATTAGCGATTCAAAGGGCTAAGCGAAAAACATTTGACGTTTGACAAAAAACACGAAATTTTCATGAAGTTTGCTCTCTTATATCTTTTTGTATAGGAAAGCAAGCAACCTCAGGTTTTTTGCATCAATTAGTGTTACTCAACCTCTTTTCAGCCATATATAAAAAGTACTATGCTTTATATGGCTTCACTTAAATATTATCCATATCTTGAGACCACTTTTGAGAAAAAATCTTGAAGCGGGAACGTTTTTTTAAAACGAAGCTTTTGGAGGTAAGTATTCCGAAGTACCAAAACAAATCCAATTTTTTTAAAACTTTCCGTATATATTAAAAAAAGGTTGAGGAATCTAATGGAATGTGAACACTTTTTAACATTTATACATAAATTTTTAGTTCTCAGTGTTTAAAAACTTCAAGGTTAATTATTATAGAAAAAAAAGTGATTTTTGAAAGTGTTCAAGTGGAAATGGCAAATTCGGCCTTTCCTCTATTTAAAACAAGTGTTTAATTATGTTTTCTTAAAAAATAGGTGCTTCGGATTTGTATATTAGAATTATGTATATATACATCTATATTTCTTCGCGTATTTTATGACGTTTTTTGTTTTGATTTTGCAATTCCGAAATTTTAACTACAAATAAAATTGAAAGTGAAAGTATATTTCTTATTAATGACTTAAGTTTTCAAGGCAATAAAAATAAAGATTTTATATTTTTAAATGTATTTTGTTTGGATTGTTCAACTACAAGCTTGATTCTCACTGTTTCTACTACTGTTTTTAGTCTGTAGATTCTCTAAACTGTTTTTTTCAAAACAAAAAGAAATAGTAATCAACTAAACTTTTAGTCTAAAGTTTACAAAATGGAAATGTGTAAGAATGTTATCATTTTTTTTTTCTTTTTTTTTTATATTTTTTTATTGGCTAAGTAAAATAACCAATGAACTTTAATTTCAAATTCAAAATCTCTTCTTTAGGCTGTGAACTTAACAATCTACGTGAAATGGTGGTTCAATCTATAAGTCAAGAATGTAAGTCATACTTTGATACAAATCTATAAGTCAAGAATGTAAGTCACACTCTTCATCAAATTCATTGTCGTCTAGAACACTTACCATGGTATGGTAAGTGTTCTAGACGACAATGAATTTGATGAAGAGTGTGAGTTTCAGATACTATATGATGGATATGAAGATAAGTATGATATTGAGTTGGTCAAAGAGTGGAGGATGAAATGTGTTGTGGTAGAGGGAAAAGCTGATGGTTATGTGGAGGGCGAAGTTTGTAAAAAACAAAAATGCAGTTAATATCATTTTTGACACAATGGGGATTTAATTTATTGTATTTATGTTTGTTATTATTCTTATTATTAATAATATTATTGTTATTATTATTTTTATTGTCATTTAATTTAATGTGTTCTTGTTTGTGTTCTGTTTGGTCATCTGGAGCGGTGTTGGCGCACCAACAATTCTTTATATGTATATTTGTTTTCTATTGGACATCTGCCATCATGGTGACATACCCGTAAGTCATGCTTTCTATTTTTGTGCTGACATACCTGTCAATATATGTATCTTTGTGTTTACATTTTTTTGTGTTTGCATGTATGTTTTTGTAGGTGTGTCTGCAATTATTTGCATGTTTGTTTTTACTCACTTGTTAGTCACTATATGCATGTTTGCGTTTATGTATCTGTTAGTCATTATGTGTATGTTTGTGTTCTGTTGGACCTCTGAAGTGGTGTTGACACACCCGTAAGTCACTATATGTATGTTTGTGTTTATATACCTGTTACTCTTTATGTGTATGTTTGTGTTCTGTTGGACCTCTGGAGCGGTGTTAACATACCCGTAAGTCACTATATGTATGTTTGTGTTTATGTACCTATCAGTCATTATGTGTATGTTTGTGTTCTGTTGGACCTCTGGAGCGGTGCTGACCCACCCGTAAGTCATTATATGTATGTTTGTATTTATGTAGCCATTAGTCATTATGTGTATCTTTGTGTTTATCTACCTGTAAGTCATTATATGTATCTTACTCTTTTGTTGGAACTGTGGAATGACTTTAATTTCATTTGATAATGCAGGTTAGTCATTTTGATCAAGTTTTTGTTTTTTTTATTTATGTTTGTGTCTGTTGGTCTTGTGGCACAGCGTTGAAATAACAGTAAGTCATTGTATGTATATTTGTGAGTTGTTCCAACTAGGCTGCAAGCAATCATTGTAGGAGTTGGAAGTTACTGGAAGAGAAAAGATGAAGTTTGTAGAGTAAGATAACAATTGACAGATGACTTAAAAGATTGCAAATTATATGAAACAGGGAAGCAAGATAAAGGTAGCGAATTCCAAAGAACTGATGTTCGAGGAAAAAAATAGAAGAATAAGAGTTTTTGGAGCACTTAGAAACAGCCACAAGAGAATGAATTTTAGTAGATAAACAAGGGACTCTAGCTATTTAGAGCAGTGCCCATATTTGTAGAAAAAAGAAGGAGAAGCACCATTACAACAATGTGATAATAGTTGGAGGTTGGCTGCAAGAGCAGGTCCAACTATGTTTACAATGCATTTTTGCTCCTTGTCTTAAAGAGAAAGGGCATCATTAGAATATCTGCCCCAGCGTTTTTTGCAGCGTTTAGTGCCACAGGGTCTGTGTCTTTTGTGATTGTGATGTTATTGTTGTGATGTTTTGTGTTGATAGACAACTTGGCTTACCTTCTCGCTGGTGTCTATCGTTAAAAATGATTATTAGGTTGTTTCGTTACTGAAACTACTTCTAATCATTCACTAAAAGCCAAGAGATAAATTTTAGACAAATAATATTTTTTTGTTTTAATGTTGTTTTCATTTTTTTTATTTTAGGTGTTGTTGATAGTTCACAAATCTAAAAAAATAAGTTTCTTATTTTATATTTATTTAGTTTTAGTTGTTAATTTATAACTTTTTTTAATTTTTTATTTTTAAAATGAATTAACAAATATTTTTTTTTTAATTATTGTGTATCTAATGTTATTTGATGTATTATTGTATGTATTTAGATGTATTGTTTTTAATAATAATTTTATTACAATTTTAGGTAGAGTTCTGCTGTTACACCTACTATTATGTTGTAAGTACTCAAAATTTCAGGAAGTTCTGTTGCTGCAAGTTATTTTCATTCAAATTTGAATTTTAGTTTTATTAAAGAATCTTCTGTCTGTTAAATAGGTGATTCTGAATGATTTATTTCAATGCCCTTACGCAGTGAATTACTAATCGGTTTGTAAATAAAGCAATAGTTTTAAACAGATGAATTAATTGGATTCCATGATCCTTTATGCATATAGCATGAAGTTTTATAATATAACCTAAATTTTTTTCTTTTTTTTTCTAAAAGATTTAAATCTAAATTCATTTTTAAAAGACTAGGTAAATAAATAAAAACATTTCAGTCTGTAAAATTAACAATTCTGGATAATTTTGACAGATGCAAAAAAAATTATGGCATTTAATATTCTTATAGTATATAAGAAAATTAAATGCCATAATTTTTTTTGTATCTTTATCAAAAACTTCAATTTCAAATTTCTTCAGTCTGTAAAATAGACAATTCTGTATGATCCCAACAGATTCAATAAAAACTGGCACACTATTTAAAATTTCAAGTCAAATATAATAACTGTTCAAATATATCAAATATATTTAAGGTCGATATGCCCAATTAGTTTGTGCATCCCTTTTTCTGTAATTTATTGACCGGTCTGTAATTTATGCAATAATTTTACTGACAGGTCTAAAAATTATGCAATAGTTTTTAATGATGTATTTTTTGGATTCCATGATTCCTTTATGCATATTTTCAAAGTGCAACCATAATTTTTTTCATCATAACACAGTTAAATAAGTAGAAACCCTTCAGTCTGTAAAATAAACAATTCTGGATAATCCCAACAGATTTAATAAAAACTGGATCACTATTTAAAGTTTTAAGTCAAATGTAATAACGGTTCAAAAATATTAAAAATTTTAAAAAAATTACAAATTATTTAAAGTTGATATGTTTAATTTGTTTGAACAGCCCATTTTCAGCAATTTACTGACCGAAAGTAATTTATATGATTATTTCACTGACCGGTCTGTAAATTACGCAATAGTTTTCAAATGCTTTATTTTTTGGATTTCATGATTCTTTTATGCATATTCACATGGTATAATTATAATATCACCCCAACTTTTATTCTTCAAAACTAAGAAAACAATGTAAAATCCTTCAGCTGTAAAATAGATGATTCTAGACAATCGCAACAGATTTTTTAAAATAAAATTTTGTTTTTTTATTTTCTAATAGTTTTTTGATCACTATGAAAAATTTCAAGTCAAAAGTAATAACCATTCAAAAGTTATTCAAAAGTCAGTATGACCCCAAAAATATTGTAATTAGTAATAACTCTCAGTCTGTAAAATAGGTGATCCTGGTAGATCCTGACAGATTTAAAAAAAAAAAATTTGGTTTTTTATTTTCTTATAGTTGTTGGATTGCTATAGAATGTTTCAATTCAAATGTAATAACGATTCAAAAGTTAGTAAAAAGTCAGTATGACCCTAAAAATGTATAAATTAGTAAAAATTCTGGTCTGTAAAATAGATAATTTCTGGTCAATCCTGACAGATTTCTAAAAAAAAAAATTTGGAATTTTATTTTCTTATAGTTATTTGGTCACTATGAAAAATTTCAAGTCAAATGTATCATCGGTTCAAAAGTTATTCAAATGTCAATAATACTTTCATTTTCGGTGCCATTTCGCAGTAAATTTTCCATACTTAAGCCCTATACCTTTTGTCAAAAAATTACCCGTTTTTTCACTACAAAAAGGTCAATAACTTTTGATCCGCTTAACTTCAAAGGCTAAATGGCCCCTCATTTTTTAAGTCAAACCAAGCTCTATACAATGACATCAATTATATTTGAATATTTTAATTATAAAAAAATCGTCTGGAATGGCTACATATATATATATATATATATATATATATATATATATATATATATATATATATATATATATATATATATATATATATATATATATATATATATATATATAAATGTATATATATATATATATATATATGTATATGTAGTTATATATATATATATATATATATATATATATATATATATATATATATATATATATATATATATATAAGTATATATATATATACGTAAAAAATTATTTGTATATGCATTATATTTTTGTAAATGCTATCTTTTTTTTCTCTTTTATGTCATATATATGATACATTAAAGCACATATTTATGTGTGCTAAAGTATGATTTGTGTTTAATGACATATTCTTCAAAAAGCTTAAATAAAATACTTAAATGGATATACAAGAAAAAAAAGTTTTTTAAAGATCACGACATTAAGATGAAAAAAAAAGCTACTGTAAGATCCAGGTACTTAAATTTTTCTCATTTTTGTCAATATTAAATCAATTAACTTTTGAACAGTTTGGCCAATCAAGCTGAAATTTAGGAGAAGCAAATTTGAGGTGGTAGTCTGGGGACCATAAAGCGATTTGATATGGAATGAGCCATATATATATATATATATATATATATATATATATATATATATATATATATATATATATATATATATATATATATATATATATATATATATATATATATATATATATATCAGTGGCGTTCCTAGTTATGGTTTCACCCGGGGCGGCAAATAGGGTGTCACCTATATATTATATGTAATTATTTTTATATACGAAATTATTAAAGCAGTGTTTAGAAACGTTGACACATGTAATTTTAAACCTTGTTTTCGACAATAATAAGAAAGCTAAGCGATAATATTTTCTAAATAATGATAACTATATCTTTCAGCATTCAGCATTTCGTAGGTCGTGTAAATAAATACCCACTTTTTTTTTTATGTAAGACTGTTTATTTATAAACCAAAACAAAATATAAGATATTAATAAATTGGGTGTCGCCCAAAAGTGGATGACACTCGGGGTGGTGAGCCCCCCATCCTTCCCGTAGGTATGCCACTGATATATATATATATATATATATATATATATATATATATATATATATATATATATATATATATATATATATATATATATATATATATATATATATATATATATATATATATATATATATATATATATATATATATATATATATATATAATATACGGGTATGTATTATACATTATAATATATGGATTGATTTTTACATGTTTTCGAGCATACCTTATTTATGAATGATCCTAAAGTCCTGGTTGCATGCATTTGAACTAGTATTTAAAAACTAGAATTAATATATTTGTATATATATAATTCAATTTTTTATTTATGTATATGTTTTTAAGTTCTATTTTTGCCATTTCTTTTAATATAAACTATAACATAAATAACATAAACTAACATAAACTGTTATTGGTTCTTTTATATTTTTGTTAAAAGAATTTTATATTTAGCACAAGTTCAAAAATGTTTTTTTTTAATTATTAAATTTATTTATTTTTATTTTAGTTTGACCTTGAAGTTCTACTCTACTTCATTATTTATGATTAGTTTGACTACTGTTGAAATATGGTTTTAATTTAGTAAATTCTCGTGAACTGAAATTTACTTTATTGATTATTAGCCAACAGTTTTAGTAATAAAATTGAATTTAACACTGTCAAGGTAAGAATAACTTTGTTTTCTTGTAACGCCATAAAACAGTTTTTTATGATTAATACCATGTTATTGCTAATTTGTGTAACTATACCTTAGTTGACTAGACAGCTGACATAATTCTGAAAATCTAATAGTTTGTGTACTGAGAATTGTTGAAGCACTTGGTTTATGTAATTTGGTTTTAACAATTTCCGAATATAGTCTAAAATAACAAAGTTTGCGATGGATTTGGATTAATGGTAAGTGTCTCAGCCTAAAAGTTGCATTACAGTTCATAATAATTTATCGTATCTATCATAATAGCACTGAGCCTTTTTCTTGTTACTCTAGATACTTTAGGTATATTTTACTAATTAACAAAACTTAGTGATTTCAGTTCATGTTGAAAAATGGCTTTCAAATCCATAATATTTTTTAGGAATTTCTTCAATTTTACTATTTTAAAGTTAGTGTTAACCATTTACATGCAGGCCCCTATATATAAATGTCCGGATATTATTTCGAAATTTAAGTTTCTTAAGTTTCATCGTCCATAATTGTACTTGGTTTTTTCATAATCAATAGAAGTTATACCTGGTCAGGAAATAAAATATTTCGAAAAAACGGTCTTATTGTTTAAAAAATCTTTCAACTCCTCATTTAACTTATGCCTGTTAAAACTTATTTCAGATCTTTTTTAAATTTTTAAAAAACCAAAACAAAATCATTTTTTTTGTTGCAGTAGAATAAGTCTTGTTTTATTTATGTCTGATTATGTTATTGTTTTTATACTATAGAAACTGGTCGAAAAACGTTAAAGCTTGGGGCAATACCATTGTTCAACATTCCTAAGAAATCTCATGAAACTGTTAAAGCTCCTGAAAGAAGGCATATATCTATTGTTAAAGATATTTTGACTACAGAAGAAAAACATACAGACAAATACAAAAACTTTAGTGAACTTACTAACATAGTAAAGAAGCTTAAACTCAATTGGTTTATATCATATGATAAAAACTTTATTTCATTTAAATCTTTTCAAACTTTTACGTTAGTACCATATTTAGAAGTTGTTGTTGGATGTAGTCTAGAATTTTTTGTTATTGTTTATGGATGGACAATGCCTGATGACCATCACTTGTATAAAGAATTTTTACGATCAGTTCGTCATGTTAAAATATCAAAAATGTTAAATAAAGTTCAATCTTTACAGATGTGTACTGGCATAACATATGACTTGGTAGATTGCGATAAAGATGGAAATCTAATAAATCATTCTATTCCTCATAAATTTGACCTTAACAATGAGAAAAAAGTACCATTTAAAGCTAGTCAATATAAACGTCACAAAGATTGTTTTGTTATTGGCTCTGGTTGTGAAAAGTGTGTAAAATGTTTAAATTTTGAAATTAATTTTATTAAATGTAAAGTTAGTACTTCAAAAAAAATAGATCAACCAGCTCATTTGAATGCCCCATTATCTATCACACATCCAAATCGTGTAAAGTTAGCACTCGTTGAAGAGCGTTCTAAAAATTAAAAACTTTTGCAGAATATTGAAAGAATGCAAAAGGAAATACAGGCTAAAGGTATTTAAGCACTTGTTTAAGTTCTGCTCTTGATATTTAATTAGTAAAAACAAAAAAGCATGACACCATTTATGAAACTTTTCTGGGAAGAACAGAATCGTTTATCAACTAGTTCCTAGATATCATCCAATGATAATTCGATTTTGTCTTTCTCTTGCATCTAAATCAGCCTCAGCATATGATGAACTTAGAGATGCTAAAATTTTAACACTTCCAAGTAGGCGAACACTACGCGATTATAAGAATGCTATTCGACCATCTGTAGGATTTAACCCAGCAGTGATTGCTGAATTAAAAGAAAATACTAAAGACCTCTCTGATATTCAGCGAAATGTTGTACTTTCTTTTGATGAAATACGCATTCAAGACAATTTAGTATTTGACAAGTCATCAGGTGAGCTCGTTGGATACGTTGATCTTGGAGACCCTGAAATAAACTTTTCGACCTTCACTGATGTAAATGATTTAGCCAGTCTCTGTCTAGTATATTATATACGTGGAATTGCATGCGATCTCAAATTTTGTATTGCATATTTTGCTACTAATGGTGCAACAGCTATGCAAATAATGCCAACATTTTGGAAAGCTGTCTCTATATTAGAACTTTGTTGTAACTTGAAAGTAATTGTTGCAGTTTCAGATGGTGCCTCACCAAATCGATCATTTTATAAAATGCATAGTGGATTAGACAATCTAGATAACTCAGATGTTGTGTATCGCACTATTAATTTACATGCACCTGATCGTTTTATATATTTTTTTGCAGATGTTCCACATCTAATAAAAACATTTAGAAACTGCATGTATCACTCTGGTGAGGGTAAATGTACCCGTAATCTTTGGAACCGTGATCAGAGTATTTTTTGGTCCCATATCGTTAAAATAGTACAAGATGAACTAAATAACAGTCTTAAGGTTTTACCAAAACTTAGTTATGAACATGTTCATTTAACTGCATATTCTGTAATGAATGTGCGATGTGCCACATAAGTTTTAATTGCAAGTGTTGCAAATGTTCTTTATCGGTGCTATCCTCCTGAAACACATGTTACAGCTGAATTTTGTTCACTTATGGATAGATTCTTTGACTGTTTAAATGTAAGAAACCAAAGTGAAAGTTTATTTAAAAAGAAATCAGACTTAGAACCTTATCGTGATTTGAATTACTCTCCATTTGATTGGTTATTGAATGAGTTTTTAAACTATTTTTCAAGTTGGAAAGAATCTATCAAAAATCGTAAAGGAAACTTTACGCGCAATGCTCGTGATCGCATGTTTATTTCCTGGCAAACGTATGAGGGTTTACTTATAACGGTACACTCTTTTGTGGAATCAACACGTTTTCTGTTAAGTGAAGGAGTGCCATTTATATTGTCAGAGCGCTTCAATCAAGATGTATTAGAAGAGTATTTTGGAAGACAGCGTAGTCTTGGAAGACGAAATGATAATCCAACTTTGATTCAGTTTGGCTATCAATCCAACACCTTGCGTATGCAACGTTCTATTGCACCAGTTACAGGGAATACAAAAGGAAGTTTTAAGCAAAAACGCAGAGTTTCTTGGAAATTTGTTGATAATGCTCCTTTAAAAAAACGATCTACAAAGAAGTAATTTACAATCTTTTGTGTTTTTACTCGCTCATATGATAGAGGTATGTATATTTATGTTCTGTTTGTACCTCTGGCACGGTGTTAGCTCAAATGTAAGTTGTTTTATGTATATTTGTGTTCTGTGTAGACCTCTGGCGGGGTGTTGATTCACTCGTAAGTCGATTTTTTTATGTTTGTGTTCTGTGTAGACCTCTGGCGCGGTGTTGATTCACTCGTAAGTCGATTTTTTTTATGTTTGTGTTCTTTTTTAAGCTCTGGCACGGTTTTGGCTCACCTGTAAGTCGCTTTATATTTGCTATGTTATTGTTGTGTTATCATTGTTATGTTATTGTTGTGTCTGTTTTTGTTTTGTTTGAACCTCTGATGCAGTGTTGCTTTATCATAAGTTGTTGTATGTTTGTTTGTGTTCTGTTTTAAGCTCTGGCACCGTGTTGGCTCATCCGTAAGTTGTTATATGTATATTTCCTGTGTTATTGTAGTGTGTAATCATTGTTATGTTATTGTTGTGGTGTTTCGTGTTGATAGACAACTTGACTACCTTCACTTTGGTGTCTATTGTTAAAAATGATTATTAGGTAGTTTCATTACTGAAACTCTACTTCTAATCATTCACTAAAAGCCAAGAATCAAGTTTTATAAATTTTATAAAACTTGATTCTTGGTTTTATAAAATGTATATTTTGATGTTGTTGTCATTTTTTATTTTTAGTGCTGTTAATATGTTCCACCCTAAGTCCGTTTTCAACCGAAGCCGGGCTTGGGGTGATGTTGCACCCCGAGTGCGGTTTTTCGTTGAAACTCGGGGTAGGTCAGTTTTAGTTGGGGTGAGTGACTTTTTAATGCGAGTTAATATTTATAATGTCATTTCAAGCAAATTTTTAAACTTTAAAATGCAAACACTCAAGAGCGAATGATTTTTTGAAAATATATTATGATATATTATATAATTTATTACATTTTAACATGAGATAAGAATAAAAAAAAATAAAAAATTAGTGTTTCGTATTTGCATATAAAAAGTTGTATATTATTGTATTGTATAATAATGTATATTAGTATTGTAATATATTACAAATAGTATTTGTATAATAATACAAATGTATTTGAAATATGTATTGGTATCATAAAGTCTATGAATGTTTCATGTCTAATTTTTGTAATCCTATGATAGGAAAAATTGTTAAAATGAATCCTGAATGTTTTGAACAGCAAAAATATCAGTTTGAAAAATGGTTAAATCTTAACAACAAGTCAAACAGCTCTGTTTTATCAGAATGTGAATATACTTCCATTATCAAATATTTGAAAGATAAAAATGATGGAAAAACTGGATATATTACTTCACGGAATATTCAACGAAGAATCAAGTCAAACAAGTTTAAACTAATTGATTACCCACCCTTAGGTTTAAAAGATATTTTATGTGCTCCAACTAAATGTAATACAGAGGTAGATTTTATCTGCTATAATTACTGCATATATTTGTTTTCTATCATCAAATAATTATACTGCATTATATACTGAAAAACAAATTTACGATATTATCTTATTATAAGATATTATCATAAATTTGATAAAATATAAGATTTATATTGTGACGCAAAGTTTCACCCTGTGTACACAATTTGTGTATACATGCATTTTGTGTATGCTATTTAACTTTTATATGTCGGAATATAATAAAAGCAAACAGCACATTTTATGCTTTTCGTTGTATTAACTAACTTTGTTAGATTTTAGCTTCGATAGATAGAAGCTTTAATAGATTTTTTAACAAAATTTGTCTGTGCATTAAATTAGGGTTGTTCACGAAAGCCAAAGTTGAATTTTCGATTAAAAAAAAAAGTTTTCGAAACTCTATTTTCGTTTCGGTAAATTCGAAATAATTTTAAAGTAATTAATTTTGCGTCGAAACGATTTTTTACTTTCGAAATTATAAAATTTGCTTCGAAATAATTTTGCGATTTCGAAATTTTGATAATATTATCGAAATAACTTTTTACTTTCGAAATTGTAAAATTTGCTTCGAAATATTTTTGCGATTTCGAAATTCTGAAAATATTGTCAAAATAACTTTTTACTTTCGAAAACGTAAAATTTGCTTCGAAATATATTTGCGATTTCGAAAATCGGAAAATATTACCGAAAAAATTTTTTACCTTCGAAATTGTAAAATTTGCTTCGAACTATTTTTGTAATATCGAAATTCTGAAAATATTACCGAAAAAAATTTTTTACTTTTGAATTTCTTCGAAATATTTTTGTTATTTCGAAATATTTTTGTTATTTCGAAAAGTAATACACAATATACAAATTACTATTAAATTCTAAAATTTGCTTATATTTATTTTATTACTGAAATTATAAAAAGTTTTATTAAAATGTTTTTATAAATAATTAAATTTTAAAAAATAACATAAAATAATACTTAAAATTTTTGGTTTTACGGCACAGTGGAGGCAGAGAAAAGGGTTTAACTACCTCCCACTATTTTATAGAAGAATCTGCAATTATTTTAAAAATAACTCAGGGGTCGTTCTCAAATCACCTCACATATTTAGACCTAGCGGGGTTTCGGATTTTATGACACTCTGTGACTTTTTAATTAGGGGGGGGGGCACATTTAGGGGCTTTTTTTCAAATTTTTGAGGGTCTTTTACCATATATGGGGAGCTTTTTTATTTTTAGTAACAGGTTTTTTAAATTTTGGGGCCTTGGTTTTTGGCTCAAAATTCTTGATGTTGGTGTTGCAAATATAACAATAACATTTATCAACTAAAAGTAAACTTTCTTAAGGAATTTGTTTATCTTTATACTAAGTTATTGTTATTAGTTACAGCTCATTGATATTCCATGGATATCTGTTGCGCCGGACAAACAGTACCTTCTCCTTCACTGCTCTCGCCTGATTAGATTATGCTTCATGACTTTTTACTTTTTTAAAATTATTTTTAGGAATGATATTTACCCTCACCAAAAGCTTGAATAGCCTTTTTGATAGCTTGAATAGCGTTAAAATAAATAAAAAGTTTTTTTTTGCCTGTCGTTTTGATTACATAAAAATTTCTTATGAAAATATTTTTTTTATTTCGAAAACACAATAATTAAAAATCAAAAATTCTAATCTAAATTTGAATAGCGTAAATTTGAAAGAAAAGTTGCGTAACTTTAGACACACAGTCTGTAAAAAATTTTATTTTTAATATCAGCAAATTTTTAAAAATAAAGTAGAAGGCCAGCCTGAAAAAATTAGCAAAAACTAATTGTTTTTCGAATTTTTCTCTAAAAATCTAATAAAGATTATCTGGTTAAACAAGAAATAAAGAATTTTGACACTCACTTCTTAGAATGCATAGTTCACAGCACGCACGTAAGTCATTATTATTCCTCAACGGCAATTCCCTTGAGGCCTTAAACGCATGACATGAAATCATTGTTGCAATGTAAACGGCTAATTAATCTCTAGTGGTTATTTAGTGATTTACAACGGTTTCAAATCGATTTATGCCTTTGCGATTTTTGTGTTACATAACTCTAAAAAAAATGTAACTTTATATTGAAGTTATAACAATCTCATTAATATCTCGGTAACGTTAGTGAAGAAACATGTGATACAAATTTATTTTAACATAAGTTACTAATTTGTTAATATTTGTTACATACGAACAATTAAAAAACTAATCGATTTTTAGTTTGAATAAACAATGTCAAAAACAAATAAATCCGTGATTAAGAAAGGAATAAGAAAACGAAGCTTCGTTTGGACATATTTTGAAATGGACCAAAAGAATCAAACAAAATGCAGCATATGTTATAAGATTTTACCTTACAACAGTTCGACCAGTTCAATGCAATCCCATTTATCAATTGATCATTGCATTAATTCTAAAATATCTAAAAAATCAACAACTTTATTCAACGATGACGATATATCCGATATTGAGAGCGGTAATGAGAATGGTTTTGAAGAGACTGGTCATAAAAAATTAAACAAGTTATTGGTGAATTTTATCGTTGGTACCGATCAGCCGATTTCGATAGTACGTCATCCAGATTTTGTAAACCTAGTTAGTGAGTTAAACAAAAGCTATTAAATGCCATGCATAAATACGGTGAGCAAGAAATTAATTCCATCAATTACGAACAATCTTAAATCAATTTTAATGCTAGAATTAAAGGAATGTCATTTCATTACAATTACTTGTGATAGTTGGACATCATTGGGTAAAAATAGCTACCTCGGTATGACTTGTGATTTTATGGACGAAAAATGACTTTAGTTGACCGAAACCTGGATCTTGAGTTTATGTCTGAAATGAAAACAGCTGAATATTTATTTAATAAGTTAAACGAAATCTTCAGTGAATGGTCAATCAATAATAAGATTTTTGCACTAGTTACTGACTCAGATGCAAATATTTTCTTTGCAGTAAATAAATTTGATGATAATGTTTTTAAAATTCCGTGTGCTGGTTATCGTTTGAATCTCGTGGTTAATGATCTTCTAAAATTTAAAAATGGGTCAAAGCGTTACAAAGTAAAAGATTACGACGGTAATGGAAAATTAATTAATAGAGAAACTACAGAAAGTGAAGTTAAAGAAATTGAAAAAATTAACGAAGGCAAATTAGAAATCGCCAAGGTAATTTCATCCTGCAGGCACATTGTTGGTTCATTAAAGCATTCAGAAATGTTACAAAAAAAGTTAAAAGAAGTTCAAGAAACACTTCGTTATGAAACTAAAATAAAGTTAGTACAGGATATAGCTATTCGCTGGAATAGCCAATTTGATATGATTGAATCTATATTAACAAATAAAACTGCATTGGATATGATAAGCATCGAATTTCCAAATATAAAAGACTATCTTCCCACTGCAACTGAATTTAAGGTGCTGGAGGATTTGTGTGATTTGTTACACCCAATTAAAGAGCCAACAAAAATTTTTAGCGGAAAGAAATATGTTACAATAACATTCTTGTTTCCAATGCTGTATTCTCTACTAAATGAAATACTTGAATCGCAACCTATTTTTACAGAACTAGACTTTTCAAAAGGAATTATTAAGGTCTCTAAAAGGGCGTTTTAAATACATTTTTGCTATGATTTTTTCTTAGCAGCTTCTTTTTTTAATTTCAAATTTCGTAAATTCGAGTTTATCAAAAATGATATCTATAGATATGAATGCATTTCAAAGGCAAAAATGTTTATAAAAACATTTTATGAAATGCATCTAAAGGAATCCGAAGAAATCGATATAATAATTGAAACAAATTGTTTAAATAACACTTTGAACTCGTCAAACAGCTCAGCTGACAATACCATAAAAACATTTCAGCAATTGTCAACGCCACCTATTGCAAATAATATTACTTTAGTTAACAACAAAAGACAAAAGTCAATCAACTTAATTGAACTAGTAACAGATAAATCTTGTTGTAATTTAATTGAGAGCAATGATAAACTTGAAAAAGAAATAAATGATTACAGTCTGCAATACTTTCAGAGCTTCGAAAATAGTGCCATTGAATTTTTCCAAGCTAATCAAAACTTGTTCCCGGTTTTGACACAAATTGTACGGAGAATATTTTCAGTTCCAGCGACATCTGTGCTATCAGAATGCTTATTTAGTTCAACCAGTTTAATAGATGCAGAGCTACGGAACAGGCTCGCGCCGAGCTTATTGAAGCAGTTAGTTTTTATTAAAGAAAACAAGTAATCAAAAACATTTCTTTATTAAATTAAATTTTAGTAAAAGTGTATTTTATAAATCTTAGTAATTCAAAGCACTTGTGTTCTTCTTTTTTTTATCTGATGAACTTTTTTACAAACAGCTTAATTAATGACAATATGTTTTCTGTTATATTCTTTTCAATTCTGGAAAAAACACGAATATCCAATCATTGAGCTGCCATCATGGCAGGTGCAAATAGGTGTGACGTGGTGGGGTGTCATTAAAATTTTTGTTGAGTAAAAAATTAGGTCCTTGTTTTTTGAAATTCGACGATCTGTCTAAAAGCTCTACATTTGCCGACTTCTTTTAAAAGGGTTATTTTTGCCGACTAAATGCACAAAAAATGCATCTAGGAAGGTGTGTGTGTAAATGATTCGTAAATTTAAATAATCTTTTCCCGTTACTGAATGGTTTAGAATTTGTAACTAAAGAGGACTAATTTCACAGCTTGTAACAGTAGCATTTACTGTTATGATATTGCCCTTTTTTAAGAAATCTTGTTGTCACAACAACTAATTATAAATTGGATTGCTTTATCTTTCCCTAACTTGAGGGAAATCTTTATGAACAAAAAAGTGATTAAAAGAGAGTCTTTTTTTAACTTTTTAGGAGTGATGATAGATGAAAATATATCATGGAAATATCATATTAAATCTATTGAAATTTAAATATCCAAAAATACTTCAATGCTATATATAGTTAAACCTTAACTTTATTTAGCATAAAAAATATATAATTTTCTTAATACGGAGTCTTTGAAAATTATATATTTTTCATTTAGGGAGAGTTGGGGCACAGTGGGTCGGATTTCTCTCTTTTTTAATTTGAGTGAAAGTTAAAAAATATATTTTATGTTTGTCAAGGCTAAAGAATTGAGAGATATGTCCTTCATGATAAGAAATCACTAAAATCTAAATATATATTATCTAACAGCTCGCAGAAAGGTTTAAAGTGAGTTTTGTTAAGTGATTCACTGTACCCCAGTACTGGGGTACAGTGAAACAATTAACTCATCTGCAATTTAGTGGTAGTTAATGGGGGCGTAGCCAAATAATTTTGAGGATGAAGGTGTAAATACATTGTACTCTATACTTTTGGTGCACTTTTGGTAACTAATATTAAATAATTTAAATTTTTTCTGATTGACAAAATAAAGAATAAATTTTATAGATAACAAAACTTATTCAACCATCTAAAATCACAAAAAAAAATTTATTTAATAAAACTTATTTAACCAACAACACAAGAAATTTTTTAAAGTGAATGTTTAATTTTTATAAATATTTTAATTTTTATAAACATTTTTATCACAGTGAATTAACCATTTCACGGTACCCCGATTCATTGTGCCCCACTATAAAAATAAGGTTCAAGTTTAATTTCTTGGGGCATGAGTTTTATTAAAGGAAAAGCAAAACTACTAAAATGAACCATAAAGATCAGTATTCCGAATATAAAGCTTTAACTTATAAAATGATTTTAACCATGATCTCCACAACAAACATAAAGATGGTAAGAGCATTTACTTTAGTTAGCTAAAAACATAAATTACCTACCTAAAACCGAGAGTCCAAAATTATGTGGTAACACCTATAAATAAAGATGGGTGATATATGCGCACATAAACTTATTACATCATCGTGATGAACAAAATCATAATCTTTGAAAAAATGCTTCTTATTCACTGTGCCCCTCAATCCACTGTACCCTGACTTCCCCTATTCATAGTTATCTTGAACAAAAACATTCATGCAGGATTATATTAGGCGTTAACAGAACTGTTAATGATGAATCTCTTTTTAGAAACTTAATGTGCTTAATGTTTATAAACTTTATATATACCAAATTATGCTTTTTACGTTTAAATCAAAACATGCGTTATCTCCTTATATATTTCACTCTAACTTTGCAGAAATATCTCATTAATACCCATCTGATAATTTTGTAATTCCAAGATCTTATTTAAAACTCAATTCATTTCAAATTCAATAGCGTGGACCATATATAAGAACATCTCCTAAGAACAATTCGAAAGAGAATCTAAACGTTTTCTATAAGAAAAAAATTTCAATATTTTTTTTAATATTTCTTTTAAAAGTTCCTAAAATAATTAAACCTGAATAAATCATCACTACTCATTTATTGTTGTCTTGATGTATATCTTATTTATTTCTTATTAAAATAAAATATATATACTATTAATTTCAAGCAAACAAAACAAAAAAACAAAAAAAAAATCTTACGGTTTGTTACTTGTGTTTTATATGTGTAGAACTAATACTGTATTTTATTTTAACTTTATAATTTTTAACTTGTTACTTTGTGACGTTAATGTAAACGGGGCTTGGCGATAAAACAGCGTATGTCTTTTTCTTGTTCCGGCCATTTTTTATATAGGTATGATCTTCCTCATTGTAAATTTTATTATACGACAAAAAAAAGATAATAATTGAAAAAAAAAAAAAAAAGAAACTGGTTAAGTTTTTTTAATGTTATGAATCATGGTGCCTCATTAAATTATATTCTTTGCACTCAAAAACAGATTCATTACATACTAAACATGCTGGCGCCGAAATATTTTTACCAAAATAGTATTCTTTTGCGAAACATATATATATATATATATATATATATATATATATATATATATATATATATATATATATATATATATATATATATATATATATATATATATATATATATATATATATATATATATATATATTATAAAAGGTTTACCTGCGGATACCCATGGTAAATTAATTAGGCTTCAGGTTATTAAGTATTATTATTCAAATAAAATTTAAGGTATTAAAATTTATAAGTTATGCTTTTAAAATTTAAAGCGTTAATTCGATGTTATTTTTTTTGGAATAAATTTAACTTTCTAAAAAAAAAAATTTTTCCGAAAGAAAAACTTTTCGATAACTTCACTTTCGAAATTAATTTAGCTTATCAAATATCTATTGGTTCTTTTCTCGAAATTAATTGCACACTTCGAAATTCTTTTTTGTTCTTTCGAAATTAATTTGACTTTTCAAAATACACTTTTTTTTTCGAAGTTAATTTGACTTTTCAAAACTCTTTTTTTTCTTTCGAAATTAATATTACTTTTCGAAATACACTTTTTTTTTCGAAATTAATTTCACATTTTGAAATTCTTTTTTTCCTTTCGAAATAAATTTCCTTTTTCGAAATCCAGCTTTTTATTTCGAAATTAATTTCACATTTCAAAATTCTTTTTTTCCTTTCGAAATTAATTTCCTATTTCGAAATCCACCTTTTTATTTCGAAATTAATTTCACATTTCGAAATTCTTTATTTCTTTTCGAAATTAATGTCCTATTTCGTAATCCACCTTTTTATTTCGAAATTAATTTCACATTTCTAAATTACTTTTTTTTTTCGAAATTAATATGGCTAGTTCGATTATTATCGAAAGTTTTTTTAGATTTCGAAAAAAAAGAAGTATTTCAATAACGTTTTAATCGAAAATTTTCGAAAATTGCAATTTCGATAATGAACCCTACATTAAATAGTAAGTTTAAAGGTAAATGTGTTCTATTATTATGTTGTTGAATTGTACGTGTTAGAAATCACGTAGATGCGTGATGTTGAAAGTCACGCATCTACGTAAGTTATTTTAACTGTAATTAACAGTATATTCTCATGGGACTTTTTAATTTAATATATATAGAGAAAAGATTTTTGTATAGGAAGTTAGAAAGAATATATAAAGCTATAGATTATAAACGTTATTAAATTAAATGGACGCGACGATAAAACTAGCTATTTCGGCCATTATGCCACCGGTATTCGATGGCAACCATCAGCGGTTTGTCCGCCAACTACGAACATACATAACTGCGATGGACGTACCCGAATCCAAAAGAAAAACAATAATATTAAAATGTTTGCCACCACAGATTTATTCCGCACTAGAAGATCTATGCTGGCCTGCATACCCTGAAGATGACTCAGTTACCTACGAAGACATCGAGGAAAACATCACGAAGCTTTTTAAACCGAAGTCATCGTTAATACTACGCTTTGAATTTGCAACTATAAAAAAAGCAAGTAACGAAAATGTGACGGAATTTTCACGACGGATTTCAAGAGCTGCTGAAGGATGCAAATTCACGGATAGAGATGATCGAATGCGCGACCAATTCATCACGGGTTTTAACGATGGTGTTACAATCAAACGGTTACTACTGGAATCTGAAGAACTAACTTTTGAAAAGGCTGTGGAAATAGCTGTTACCCTTAAACGAGTAACCCAGGAAGCTCGACAATTAGATGGTTCCGAGAATGTAATGATTGGCGCAACATCGTTACTTTCACGGACGTCTGGTGCGTCCGACATAAACAAAGTTAAATGTTTCCATTGTGGAAAACTTGGACATTTTGCAAGGGACTGCGAAGAAAAATGCAAGACTTGTTCAAAATGTGTTTACAATAATACTTTTATTAATATTATATCATGCTGTATAGTATATTTAAAGTGTTTTAAAATTGGTTTTAAAGTTTTAATAAGTAAATATCTAATTAAATTTATTTATTAATTCAGAATAATTTGCGAGAATCATCGCCATTTGGAAACTACAGTCGTGTAGCGAGTACTAAAGATGTTTTTTTTTGCTATTAATATTGCACATTGCCAGAATGGTCTGCATCTTGGGGCTTTAAAAACTTATAAGAAGGTACTGATTACTTACTGATATTTTTATTTTTATTTTATGTTGTGCTTTTTCTATTGTGATAGTCATGGTATATTTACTTTTTATATGCTGTGGAAAATATATTGTACTTATTTTATCTACCTTCAGATAAATACTAACTACCTAAAATATTATAGTTTTCTACATTTTAAAGATTCAGTTTTAAATGTAGGGGCTTGCTGTATTTATAAATTAACTTTTCTTTTATAGATTATTGAGGGTTATGCAAACATCGCAAGAAAAACTGTTGAAATTTTTATCAGTTTCTGCCCAACTTGCAATTTAAATAAAAGGCAGTTAAAAAAGCATCATTACAACCAATAATTTCTACTGGTTTTTTGCAACGTCTTCAAGTATAATCAGTTTTTTACTTTAAATTTCTAACAATGTTTTTTTAAATAGTATACTCATTTGTTTTTTAACCATGTTTTTTTAACTAATATACTCAGTTTGTTGTTAAATATAACTTTGTTGTTTATTAAATGTTATTCTGCTATTTATAAAGTTTGACTATTTATATTATATTTATATACTAAATATACTTAGATTGATTTGATTGCAATGGAATCTAAGCCAGATAAGGAATTCAGATATATTGGTCATGTTGTTGATCATTTCAGTAAGTTTCATATTTTGTTTCCTGGGAGATTCCATGTGAAAACATCCAATTTTTTTTGAAAATGCAACCATAAGTCTCAGATTTTGCTGATTTTTAAACCACTTAAAGATTTTAGTAAATTATGAACATCCTGAAAATTTTATCGTTTAATTTAAATCGGTTCCTAAGATACAGCTATTTTAAGTTTGCCTCCAACCAACAAAAACCCGCCATTTTTAAAAATTGCTTTGGTCCTAGTTTCTGTTACATGTGTGTTGGAAAGCTGAAAATTTGTACCTTTACATATTTTGGGCCAAGGAATCCAATGAAACAACTTAAAATATTTAAAAACAAGCATAACACTTAAAATTTGAACGTTTACCACAATTTTACTGGGGCGAGTCCGATCACAAAAATGCTGATGTAGCTCAATTTTTTTTTTTTTTTTTTTTTTTAGAAGTTGTTTTGAATAGTTAAGCTATAGTTACTACTAAGAATTGGAGAGTGGTCTTTTCTAAAACAGAAATAAAAATATGGTCAAATCTACTTAAATTTATTGCTTAAAAAACAGGTATTATGACAAATTAAACAAGAAAAAAAATGTGGTAATTTGACAGTTTTGCAACTGAAACAGTTTAGGCTACATCAAACTGTTCTTTTAGTTGTTGTTGACTAGCTGTTTCTGTTTTCTTTGTAATTTTTTAGAATCTGATCTTGAAAAAGTTTAGTTTAAAGGGGGAGAATTATATAAATGCAGATGTATAGTGCAAATTTAGTTTTTTTTTCAGAAGTTGTATTAAATAGTTTAGTTGGAGTTATTACAAAGAATCAGATTGTGGTCTTAAATCAGAAATAAAAACATCTTCAAATATACTTAAATTTATTACTTATAAAACATTAGTTTCATATTTATCAAACTTCATTTAATAAACCTAAAAAACAAAGACTCCAAAACAAATAGAGCACTCGGAAAGAAGTTCAAGAAACAAAAGTAATATACAAAATTTAAAAACTAAAAACTCAAACAAATTAAAATTTATCAGTTATTGTGTTATAATCATTCACATCAATGTTATATGTTCGCCCTGATTTTGTTGTTGGGACTTTGATTACTGCAATCAAACTCGACAATGGTACCCAACAGATATCATCTCTCTGTGGCCAAATAAAGTTTTGAGAAGGGCCGTGAGGGTGCATAAACTTTATTTGAATATCATTTAGAATAATATCTATCTCTGTAACCATGCCTATCCTCCAAAAGGAATCGTACTTGCATGCAACAAAATCATTTAGATTTGGTACAATAACAACATCAGACATTACTGCTTTTGACAGTATAAATCTGTCAACACATTGATGTTCGCTTGTTCTTTTAAAATTAATTTCAAATTTTGAAATAGGTATATAATGATGATAACTTCTGGTACCTGGAACAGTTTTTCCTGTTTCAAATCGCTCCTTTAGTTGCTGTCTCCTTGCATTAACTGTTTCTTTGGAAGTTTTATAAAATATGATTGTGTTTATATTGGTGATACAAAATTCAAGCATATCATCAACTGTTAATATTTGGTTTTCCAATGCCCTTTGCAAACTTGCTCTTGCTGTTATTCTTTTAACGATACCACCTATGCCATCACAAGTGGATTTTCCATGGCTGGTTGCAAAAAATACCCATTCAGCTGTATTCTCAAAATCTTCCTTATGGTGGCATAGATTTATAAAGTTTTTATAGTTTTTATAATGAGCAGAACATCCATCAGAAAAATAATAAATTTTATTGATACCAACTAAATATTCCTTAATGTACTCTACAATTTTCTTTTGAAATTCATACACAAAGCATGTATCATGATCATTGTCATCACTTAAAAAACAGAATGACTTATGCTGAATATTTGTTTTAGAAAATTCCTTAAAATATATAACAACAGGATGAAGTGTGCATTGTTGTTTATTCCAATGATAACTTTGTATTTCATCCTGTATAACAAATTGATAGTTTTCTGCAAAATCTGCCTGTATAATACATTCATTGTAACCTAAATTATTTTTTAATTCTTTCAAATAGCGAGTTTGGCATTTAGCAATATATGAATGTGAAGTTAGATGATTAATGTGAGAAACAACTAGTTCTTTATATTCAAATAAGTTAACTGATTGAGTAATTAATTGTGATCTATCAGTACTTTGCCATTGGTTGAATTGAATTTCTTCTTCTTCATCAATCTCAATTAATTCCTCATCTAAAAATGCCTTTAAGTTATCATAACCTGGACATTTGGCACATCTATGAACCATGCATTCATTATTGCTTGTATCACATACTAATTTTGACATTAAATCTTTGTATGTAACATTCCATTGGACAGCATTTACAAGCAATATTGAGTTTTGATGGTAAATACAAACACATACACAGTGTGTACCATTTGGTCCCACACTAATACACCATTTTGGACGCAAACAACAAAACTTTGAAAATCCTATTTTATAATTAGGGTATTTACTTTTAAAATCAATATAAAGCTCATGAAGGTTGCACAATAATAATCTTTTTTGTTGTGGAGGACCACTTTTAACTTTAACACAATCTTTTTTACCAGGCATAATTCTAGAATGTTCATCTTGTTGAAAAAAATCTTGAACCAAAGCTGTAAGAAAGTCAGGTATTTTTTGGCCTATTTTCTTATCAGGTATAACAAGAATTCCATTTTCACTTTTAAGTTTCCTAGCACGTCGTATAAGATGTTCAGAAACTTCAAAATATTCTGAAGCGTATTTTCTAGACCAAGATTCAGGTGTAAGTGTTAATATTTGAACTTTTTTTTTAAATGGTTCAACTTTAAGTTTTTCTTTCATTAAAGTTGTCAAATGATCAAGATCATTTGCTTTTTTTTTATCCATAGATTGACTGGAAAAAGTTGAGGCTACACTTAAGTTATTTATATTTACTCCATAAGCACTTGCTACACCTTCCATTTTTGTGTAGGCTTTGACTAACTTTCTTTTTGCTGTTACAACTCGTTGATGCTTTGCGACACCATGAACTTTAATTGGTGAGACTCCAATTGATATTAAAGAGTTGTCTAACTGTTGTTTATTACAAGATTTATCTTTAACAAATAATACATCGCCATCAATTTCACTATCCATTTCATTATCAGAAACTTCATCGTGATTTGACAAAAACTGAATACATGAGCGACAAAATTTCCATCCTGGTTTACAGTCTAGATTTTTGGATTTAAGGTTATGAGCCATTTCAAGAGATATGGTTGTTTGACCTAAAATAAAATCATTAATTTTAAATAAACATACCCTGCTTCTAAATTTATATATATATATATATATATATATATATATATATATATATATATATATATATATATATATATATATATATATATATATATATATATATATATATATATATTTATATATATATATATAATAATATATTAATTTATATAATATATATATATATATATATATATATATATATATTATATTATAATATATTAATTTATATAATATATATATATATATATATATATATATATTATATTATAATATATTAATTTATATAATATATATATATATAAGTTAATATATAATAAATAATTATATATATATGCGGTAGTTGTGTAGTGGTAGACCGCTCGGTTCATAAGCGAGAGGTTCTGAGTTCGATCCCCACCACGTCCCTGGTAGTACTGCACTCAACTTGTTTCTCTGTACAGCTGCCTTATTTGTCAAGGTTCGTGTTTTGGAGTTATAGAGTCAAGAGAGGGTTATAACCATAAATAAGTAGCCTCCTCGTCTGTAGTGACCTTCTCGGCCTTGAGGAGGTGAATTATCAAAAAATATATATATTACCTTTAACCTTCTTTTTGTGTCTTTTTAAAACATCGCAACACTTATCATTCTTTAGTAGAAATATCGGTCCAAAAACCTGCTCATGATGATAACAAATAGACTTTATCTCTTCGTATGATGTAGTCTCAAGCAAACCAGACCTCCAAATATAAGTATCTTGAAAGTCCTTTTCTAGGTTACAAAAATCTTTTAATCCTTGTTTTCGAACAAAACATATTTTGTGACATTCATCTTTTAAAACTTTTCCAAACCCACAAGATTCCATTTTATCAATATACTATTATTATTTCTGAAAAAGATGCAAGAAAAATCTATGATTCATTCAATGTGTTCATGGGGTCAAGGTTGTTTAGGACTAGAAATTTAAACTTAATTAGTAAGCATTCTAACTTTAATTTTACAACCTTATAAACATTTCTAAACCATAAAACTACTAAAAAAATAGAAAGAGCAATTCAACAACATCTAAAAGAACATTTCGATATAGCCAAAACTGTTTCAGCTTCAGAACTGTCAAATTATCACATCTTTTTGTATAGTTTAATTTATCAAAATACCTGTTTTTTAAGCAATAAATTTAAGTAGATTTGACCATATTTTTATTTCTGTTTTAGAAAAGACCACTCTCCAATTCTTTGTATTAACTATAGCTTAACTATTCAGAACAACAACAAAAAAAAAAATCGAGCTACATCGGCATTTTTGTGATCGGACTCGTCCCAGTAAAATTGTGGTAAACGTTCAAATTTTAGGTGTTATGCTTGTTTTTAAATATTTTAAGTTGTTTCATTGGATTTGTTGGCCCAAAATATATAAAGGTACAAATTTTCAGCTTTCCAACACACATATAACAGAAACTAGTACCAAAACCATTTTTAAAAATGGCGGATTTTTGTTGGTTGGAGGCAAACTTAAAATAGCTTTATCTTAGGAACCGATTGAAATTAGACGATAAAATTTTCAGGATGTTCATAATTTACTAAAATCTTTAAGTGGTTTAAAAATCAGCAAAATCTGAGACTTAGGGTTGCATGCCCTGGATGTTTTCACATATAATCTCCCTCCTATGAGAAATAAAACAGCTTTAGAAACAGCAAACAATCTTAAAAGGTTTGTGCTGAGTTACTTTGGTTTACCAGCAATTTTGCATAGTGACAATGGTAGTGAATTTGTAAATGATGTTATAAAATCACTTTTGTTAACATGGCCTGGGAAAACCCAAATTGTAAATGGTTCACCAAGACACTCTCAAAGTCAAGGTTTAGTTGAACAGGGCAACTTTACCATAGAGCGATTTATATCTTCTCGTGAATATGATTCTGGTCAAAGTAA